AATTTGATTCTCTTTTACAGGGATCCCGCCATTCCCATCGAGGATCGGGAGTATACGCCCGCGGTGGTGATGATCGTCATTTCGGGCATAATTGTCAGCGCCAATCAGATCTCCCGCACCTCCCCCTTCCTCGAGACATTCGCCATGGCCCGGGGTTCAGCTGCGGCCATATTCGAGGTCATCGATCGGCGATCCCGAATTGACCCGCTCTCCAAGGCGGGCAAGATCCTCAATTACGGGCTAAAGGGCGCCGTGGAGTTTCGGGATGTGTTCTTTCGTTATCCTGCCCGAGAGGATGTCATTGTCCTGCGAGGCCTCAATGTCATCGTGGAAGAGGGTCAGACGGTGGCCTTCGTTGGACCTTCGGGCTGTGGCAAATCCACTTGCATCCAGCTGCTGCAGCGCTTCTACGATCCCATCTTCGGGCAGGTCCTGCTAGATGGTGAGGATGTTCGCAAATACAACATCCAGTGGCTGCGCTCCAACATCGCTGTGGTCGGGCAGGAGCCGGTGCTCTTTCAGGGCTCTATCGGGGAGAACATTCGCCACGGAAAGCCAGAGGCCACCCAAAAGGAGGTGGAAGATGCCGCCAAGGCCGCCAATGCCCATGACTTTATTGTGGCACTCCACAAGGTAGCAATCCACAATTGAATCTCTTAGATAAATGCCTAAAAATACTCTTCCCATTCTCCCCTCAGGGCTACGACACAAACATCAGCGAAAAGGGCGTCCAATTGTCGGGCGGTCAACGACAGCGAATTGCCATTGCCCGCGCCCTCATTCAGCAGCCAAAGATTCTGCTGCTGGATGAGGCCACCTCCGCCTTGGACTACCACTCGGAGAAGCTAGTGCAGGATGCACTCGATAAGGCCTGCAAGGGACGCACCACTCTGGTCGTCTCCCATCGTCTCTCTGCCATCCGCCACGCCCATCGCATCGTGTACATCGAGGCGGGCAAGGCTGTGGAGCAGGGTACACACGAGGAGCTAATGAAAATGGAAGGATTCTACCATAAAATGGTCACCGTTCACTCGTACGATGATTCGGCAGAGGAACTGCTCAACGAAATGGAAGAGGTGGCAGCCAGCCCGAAGAAGGAACGAAAGATCTCCTCGTACAATATGGAGGCCGCCTCCCAGGAGCAATTCCAAATGAAACGTCTAAATGGTGATGCACCACAAAACTCAACACAGGAGGATGTGGAGACAGAAGATCCTGCAACGAGTGGAAACTACATTCGCACCTTTTTCCGCATTGTCGTTTCCGCTCGTCCCGAGTGGAGTTTCCTCATCATAGGCGCCATTTGTGCGGGCATCTTTGGCCTTACGATGCCCGTCTTCTCCATTGTACTGGCGGAACTCTATGGCTCCCTGGCGAAGCCCACTGATGAGGAGGTACTCGATCAGAGCTCATCCATGGCCATAATTTCCCTGGTGATTGGCATTGCCGCTGGCATTGTTTGCTTCATTCAAACGTTTTTCTTCAATCTGGCAGGGGTTTGGCTTACAATGAGAATGCGGTGAGTTCTTGGGGAGAGAGTGAGTCCTTTCATATCGAAAACCTTTGCCTTTGCAGCTCCAAAACATTCAGCAGCATCATGCACCAGGAGATGGGCTGGTTCGATCGCAAGGACAACAGCATTGGTGCCCTTTCGGCGCGACTTTCGGGCGATGCCGCCAGTGTCCAGGGCGCCATTGGCTTCCCGCTAAGTAACATCATTCAGGCACTAACGAATTTCATCTGCAGCATTGCCATTGCCTTTCCCTACTCCTGGGAACTGGCTTTGATCTGCCTGAGCACTGCCCCCTTTATGATTGCCTCCATTGTGTTCGAGGCTCGCTTTGGCGAGAAGTCTGCGTTGAAGGAGAAGGATGTCCTGGAGGAGACGAGTCGCATAGCCACGGAGACCATTGCACAGATCCGAACTGTTGCTGGACTGCGTCGTGAGGAGGCGCTCATTCAGATCTACGACAAGGAGGTGGAACGTTACCGCGTGCAGATCCTGCATCGGCTCAAGTGGCGAGGACTTGTCAATTCTCTGGGCAAATCTCTCATGTTCTTTGGCTATGCGGTGACCCTGACCTACGGCGGTCACATGTGCGCCGATGGAAAGATCAAATTCGAGACGATTATGAAGTGAGTTTCCCCAGGGTGTTCCCCTCGTTAAAGCATTCATATTTTCCCTCTCCGTAAAGGATCTCCAATACCATGCTCTATGGCCTCTTTATCCTCGCCCAATCGCTGGCCTTCACCCCCGCCTTTAATGCGGCTCTGCTCTCCGCCAATCGCATGTACGAGATCATCGATCGCAAGCCGCAAATCCAGTCGCCCGATCCTGCGATTGGATCCCTGCTGCAGAACGGCAACGGATCGCTGCACAAGACAAATGTGGGGGCGCAGCAGGGCGTCTGCTATCGTGGCCTTCAATTTGCGTATCCCTCGAGGCCGCATCTGAAGGTTCTGCAGGACTTTAATCTGGACATACAACAGGGACAAACGGTGGCGCTTGTGGGTGCCTCAGGTTCGGGCAAATCCACCTGCGTGCAGCTCCTTTTGCGCTACTACGATCCCAATGAGGGCAAAATTGTACGTATCCTTCAGATACATCTCTTAGCCAAACATTTCAATCCCCTCTCTGCAGCTAATTGATCAGGAGAGCATCCATCAGGATATGGAGCTTAAGACACTCCGTCGCCGACTGGGACTCGTCTCGCAGGAGCCTTCGCTCTTTGAGAAATCCATTGCCGAAAACATTGGCTATGGGGACACCACCCGAAAGATTCCCATGCAGCAGATCATCGATGCCGCCAAGATGGCCAATGCCCATGAGTTTATCATGTCCCTGCCCGCCCAATACGACACTGTTCTGGGGTCAAAGGGCACCCAACTGTCGGGTGGACAGAAGCAACGCATTGCCATTGCCCGTGCAATGGTTAGGAATCCAAAGATCCTGCTCCTGGATGAGGCTACCTCTGCCCTTGACTTCCAAAGTGAAAGGGTAAGCATTTACCATCCCAACAATAACTTTCCAGATACATTTGTTCTATCTTTATCTCTTAGGTGGTGCAACAGGCCCTCGATTCCGCTTGCAGCGGACGCACTTGCATTGTGATTGCCCATCGTTTGTCGACCATTCAAAATGCGAGCGTCATTTGTGTGATTCAAGCGGGACGCATTGTGGAGCAGGGCTCCCATTCGCAGCTGCTGGCCAAGAATGGCATCTACTCGAAGCTTTATCGCAGCCAGACTAAGGCATCTTGAAGATACTTTTTATGCACACAAGTATGCAGCAGTCAATAGAGAATGCGAATTTTCTTAGCCGCCTAGCATGGACTCAAACCCCAAAAGCCACCAACAAAAACCATCCAAAAAATATTTAATGTTTTTCCAATAAAGTTTCTTCTTTTTAAAAGTTTTTGCACTTTTGTGTCGATTTATGAAAGTAAAGTGTGCCGGAATGCCTTAAAAATTTATCTACACTCGAAAATTATTTAGATTGAATTCCCCATTGAATGATTTTCCAAAGATAAAGATAAAATCCATGTCCAAGTCCAAGTTCAAAAATTCTCTAGTCTTTCTTACTCCTCTATTCACTATAACAACATAAAAAAATGTCCATAATTGCTACCATTTTCCTAATAGTTTTCATCCTAAAGTGACACTATCTGTAGCTTCCCCAAGGATGCCATCAGAGTACCTTTGAACTGCCTTTGAATGTAGTTGAGGAAGAATACAGGGACCAGAAGGATGTCGCAATCACAGCTGAAAGATACCCCCGAAATGTCTCCAAATGTCCAAGGCTATCCCAAGGCAGCATCGTCGGCACTGAACGGTCCAGCGGTCCAGCAATCTTCTGTAAGAACCAACCAGACAGGCCTCATCAATGGCAAAACTTAACAGTAAAAAAATGGCCCATCAAATTTGCACGCCATAAAAAGTAAGAAAAACCCTCGATTTGTTTCGATATTTCATTGACATTGGTCTCGGTGTGATCATATGCTTTATCTTTTTGCCCATATTAAACTGAAGAGCACACGAACTGGCTAAGCCGTCCGTCTCGTCTATCTTATCACTTTAATTGTTATCTACATATTTACTTGGTTTAATTGTCGCTATAAATTGCGATGGGCGCAGTGCGCTTTAAACTTTTGCCATCGGAAGTTGGTACCCGCAATGCAGACCCTGTTGATGTGCCTCATCTTTCTGTGTGAGTTCATGGATAGAAGTGAAAATCTGCTGACCTTAACTCAATGCCACCTTTACAGTTTGCACTTTTCTGTACAGTTTCACATGCACTTCCACATCCATTCTTACCCCCTGTCCATTGCAAAAGAGTTGCAATCAATCGGTGGTGAAGTCAAGTGCCATTTGTGGCTTGGATGAGGACGCGGGTTGCATACGAAAATACGCCTCAACGTGCCTCATGGATATTGCAGCATGTCAGAAGGGAAAAGGTATGTGAAAGCGTTTTCTTGTCTATCTTATTGTTATTTATATTATATTTATATTTATATTGTTATATTAATATAATTTCCATTAGCTTTCACGGATTATAGCCATGTCTATTGCTCCATGGAATCCTATCTTTGCGAACAGACACCCACCTACGAAAGATGGACCATTTTCTTTGGTTTTGAAAAAGAATAAACTATAGATTGTTGATAAAATGTGCAAAGAATCTATAAACATAATTGTATGTTCAAAAATCCTTCAAAATCTTTCAAGCCCCAACAAGATTTCTCGAGGGAAAGGGCATGGGAATGGCACACTTTTACAACAAATGATGGAATGATAAATGTAAATCTAGACGCGCGTCGTTGTCGTCTGGAAAATGTGTTAACAAATTAGCAAGCGATTAAATTCATACAGCAGAGGATGACAAATTAGAACCACGAATTATAATTATATACACGTATTTCAAACACTATAAATAGCTCGTAGGACCCTGTTTTATTTTAGCTTCAAAGTTGTGCAGGTAATAAAACAAAAATCTTCCAACAATTTTAGCCACCTTTCAGAGTGTCTAAATTGTGAGATTCCTGCTGTAAATTAATCAATTCACGAGCTTGTTCGAAGATCATGTGCCACCGTATGGAACGACGACGTCAAAGACCGGTAGGAGATCCAACGGCAACGGATGCCCCCAGGCGTATTTCCCCACCTCGAATGGCGGGACGGAGACAGACAGAATGCCGCCGCCTCGAGCCTTTTATTCTCTTTTTTTCGTCTTTATTTTCGGCAGATACTTTGCATAATCTCCCGCACGACGACAGACGAGGGCGCCAGTTTATCCATTGGTCTCCTCCTTCAACACCAATCAGCGAAGAGCACAGCGTTTACTGTCGTGGTTATTTCTGAGGTATATAAAACGGGAAGGCATCTGTATTTCTTCCGTCAGTTAATGCCACAGATTCAACGTATCCACAGATCAATCAAACATCATGAGGAGCAGCAGCAGCCGCAAAGTTTTGTTTAAATTAAACTTCTTCTTTGGACTTTTATTATTCTTCGGTTAGTGCTTGGTACGCTTAGTGTTGTTTAAATGTCAATTATCACTGTACTTTTGCAGCAATGTGCAGCAGTTTGAGTGCGGGAATGGCGATGGCAAAAAGACCCAGACTCACCATGCAGCAACTCGAAGATCGCTACTGGCAAACGCCCCCAGTAAAGGACGAACGGAATGCAGATGCAGAATTGGATAGTGCCTACAAAAGGCCCATGCAACGGGGTAGCCCTATGACCTCAAACCACATTAAGAATCCATAGATACTTTTTTTTTTTTAGAAATTTCCACATAGATTTCGTGTTAACTACGGTTATGGCTATGATTTATATTTATAAATAATAAAAACAGACATTAATTTGGTGAAACGTGCGCATTGCTGGCTTATCATTCCATCACGTAGATCATTCGCCGCAACTTCCGAGCCACAAGACTCTTTATAAAGTTCCACTCTTTGGTGTCATTCGATTCATACTGTTGTGAAAATCCCAGTGGAGGTGTCACTCGATTCAATCTGTTGTGAAAATCAAGCGAAAGATCAAGCAAAATGCATTCATCAAAGATCTTGGCGATATTCATTATCTTCTGTGCCGCAATTCTGATTAGTAAGTGCAAGAAAATCTCTCTAAATATGCCCTTTAATATTTAAATTCCCCTCTCAAAGGCAATGCCCTTCCCTACCGCGACGTAAGCGACGAGGACGATGATCGCTTCAACGAAATCAGCGGCGAGTGGGGCAACCGAAAGCTAGTCTTCCCACGTCTCGACCGTCTCTTCGGCAGCGCCGAAAAGCCGTCGGGAAATCTAAAGAAGATAAAAGTCTCCACCAAAACCAAGAGAAATAATGACAGGGGTACCGCCAATGGCGACACCACAGAGAGCTCCAAGCACGCCCATTCAATGATCACATCGATGCTGACATTCGTGAGCAGCGTCATGAACTTTGGCAGGTCCTTTATCAAGGATCAGTAACTTTAGGAAATAAATGTGCAATTTTATAAATTAAAACCTCGTGAATCGTGAATGCCAAAATTAATAATACATTTTCTGTATATAAAAGAACAAAATAAAATTTAAAAAATAAAATAAATATTAATATAAAATATAGTCTACAGTTTTTCCCATTACAAATTAATTAATAGCTAATTTTTTCAGTAAAATCTTCCTTAGATCATAAAGAACGCTGCATTCTAGGTCTCAGAGAAACAGAAACTTTGTAAAGTATATTTTTATATATCTATGAAATTTTACCTTGTTCATATGGAGAACTCAGAGGTCAAATGCCAACTCTCTGTCTGTAAAATATGTATAAATAGCTAAAATTCTCCGCTAAATTCTTGCTAAAATTCATGGAAAAATACCTCCCAAAGACCATCAAGTTCATAGACTCCTCTAAGTCTCTTCTCAAATTTATGGATTAAAATCCAAGTCTCGTGAATCCAAATGCTAAATAAATCAACAATTTGGTGATTCTCGCGAAAACACCTAAACATATATTCAGGTTTTTTCATAGGAAACCTCCAGCTAAAAACAACAAGCCTCCAATTTTAGATTCACGTGTCTCGCCTCGGTCTATTCGATACCTCAGTAAGTATGTGGAAAAGTTTCTCAAACTAAATCTTAATCAAAAATCTATGACGTCTTCATTTTTAGCTCTTATTTTGGAGACAAAAAAAAGTATACCACATTTTAATCAACAAGATACATTATGCAAAATCAATGACGTCTTTATTTACTACTTAATTGCTCACACAAGCGGTGACGCCTCCGACTGGGCAAGCGAAATTTGACCCATCTTTTGTGTGTGAGAAATACAAATACTATTATTAGGCGAGAGAATGGGTTATAAAAAATGGTATAAATCATTATAATGATTAAATAATGAATGAATGGGAAGTGTGGAGTGTGTGTCGAGGGGCGTCTCTGTGCATGACGTCTCTGTCTGTCGCTACCAAGCCCCTCTTTTCACCCTCTCAATGTCCAACGCCCAAAATCGGGGATTTTTTGGCTACTTAATTTTGTGAATATCATAGTTTTTGCTGGCTCTTAAGATGCTTATGTGTGACGTCGCGAAAGACGACGCGCTCGAATGCTAATCTTGCATGACTTCTGTTGTATTTATTTTTCAACTTTATTGGCATTGTTTTGGGCCGGCTTTAATTGTAAATACAGTGTGCTTGTCGCTTTTGTTTGTACAATCAGTCATAATGAGAACTGAGATATCTAGAGAGAGAGAGAGCGACAGAGAGCGAGAGACCTCGTTATGCATATGAATACCTGTTTCACGCTGTTAATTTCTGGGGTTTCTTTTTGGGGTCTTAAAGGGGGGAATATCCAAAGCTCAGGCACTACACACTATTCGGTGTATGTCTGTAGAACAGTTTTTGAGTTCCACTCGAATGAATGCAATGGAATTAATTGGAAATTAAAGATATCTTTCGGATTTCTGGAATTGCGCAAAAACCTCTGCGGCGCTGAAGGTCATCGATTTGCCATTCTACTGCATGACGACTGCTGTGCCGTTACCCCGAATGAGTTCCAATTTCAAAGTTTGGGTGTGGGTGGATTGGTTTTTTTTTTTTTATTTATGGATTCCATAACAAAAGACTTGCTTGAGCAACAAACTGGCTCTCAAACAACAACAAATTCAGTAGAATTTCCACACGATATGTCTAAGTGCGCGATTCTTAAGACTAAGAGACCTCCAACAAATGATATTTAAACATTTTGTTGAGGGATGTCATGTTCTGGGACAACTCATGGCAGACACGCGCCACACAGCCTTCGCGCACAAGAACAAGAGCAGCAACAGGAACAGGAGCGCACAGGGGGCACATGCAAATAGACAAGGATTTGTGGTTGGATGATATCTTCGGGCTGTCTGAACAACAACTTTCACTAACCCACTAGATACTTGATCACTTTCAGCAGTACCATGGCGGAGAACGGAGGAGAACAGCTGCGGCTCCATGCACCACACGCGACGAGATTTAGAACCAAATTGAACGCCAATTCGAACATGCAATCGCGAATAAGTGAAAACTCGCCCGAGTGAGCGGCGACGCAGACGTCGACGCCAACGCTAACAGCACTGCCACAGTGGAGCGAATATGATGGCAAGGGTCAGGCCACTCAATGGGCGCCAAATCAATTTGACGTTCCAAAAGCTCGTTCCCTAAATTTCGCGCTATTATACGGTGAAAGTGATGGACCAATTCTATCGATAAGGCTGCCAGCTGATATCGATGTTTGCCAATTTTTTCAAAGATTTATCGTATCGATTTTGGTAAACAACTTATCGATGTGGGAATTTATCGGTAATTGATCCCTCCGACGAAAGTAGGGATGTTTTTGGGAATTTTTAAATGGGGAATTCAAAAGAAAACGGTAAATAAAATTCCCCGAATAGGGGGAGGAGGAGTGATGCAATAAAGCTATGCGAATATAAATAAAATATTGATCAAATACACTTACCACTTAGTATTGTTTTTAGCCACAGTTTGTCCCACTGTGCACTGCGGTCGTGTGTGGGACTGGCTAAATCAAGAACTTCTTGTTGGATGTTGTAATCGTGGAGGTTTTTTCCGACCAGACCACTAATGTTTTTCATATAACCGAATATTTCCATTTATTTTTTCGACAATGTTCATTTGCGTGCATTGCATAAAGCGCAAACAGCAATAGCAACAACAACAGCGGAAAGAGCAAGACGAACGGTAAACGTCTCGGTGAATTACGTCATAAGAACTCGTTTACATCCAGCGGCAGAGACGCGGCTGCTGCTGCTGCTCCACGGACTGACGATTGGGGCCAACAACAAATCGCTCCTCTGACACTCACGGCAGTGGCAGTTTTTATCAATGCAGTTATTTTTGTCATTGCGATCTGATCGCCCCGTGGCAAGCCACCAAGAGGCTGCCCCCAAAAAGAGTACATGCTGTCATGTCAACAAGTGGCAAACGGCGTTACTTATTCTGCCGACGTTGGCAGCGCTGTCGACGCTTTGGTCATGAATTTTGCACAGTTTTTTGTTTCTGATCGTGATTTTCGAACGCTGGCAGCGCCGAAACTGCGCGGCTTCAGCTGCTGGCTGGTTTCCTCTGCAATTGGCTTTATTTAATCGGTATAGCAATAAACTTCAACATTTTGGTGATGTTGAGTTGCAGTTTTGGTTTTTGGACAGGCTTCGACGAGTTTGTATCGACTTCACCTTCGATTTCTTAGTGCACTTTTGCACACACACACACACGCACTTAGCAGTTTCATGTCATAACGGTGCCTGAGAATTGCGGTAGTCGAAAATACGGCACTTGCGGAGTGTTGTTGTTGGGTCTTTTCTTAGCTCTGGTTGTTGTTGCTTTTTTTCGGATTTTGGCGGTGGTGGGCTTAACGAACGCGAATTGGATTTGTTTTAGACATGATTGAACATGTTTGAGTTGCACTTTTCACCTTCGATTTCTTTTACACAAACACTGACACTTTTAACGGCACATGCGGGTGGCCGAGCATTGCTGATGGGCATTTAATAATTGTAACACCACAAAAAAATACAAATAAAAGCAGAAAAACAAAAAAAAAAGCTCGGCCCGAGTTTCTCCTTATTAATTTATTGATATTGACACATATGGCGAGATCATGGACTGGCGGGGCCCAATCCGCCAGACTATTGCATATGCGCCTTTTTTGTATACACACACTGACACTTTTGCACTGCACTTATAACCCAGCGGGGCCCAATCCGCTAGGTTATTTCACTAAACACTTTTGCTGGAACACACTAACACCAACACTTTAAAAACTTAGCGGGGCCCAATCCGCTAAGTTATATCACTTCTGGTAGAACAAATTTCAACACTTTTGGTAAAACACAATATCACTTTTAGTCAGGAATTGTCTTTAAAAATGTATATTAATGTTAGCAAATGTTTACGCACATTTCTTCGCAACTTTTAAGTCAATTGCGCACTCAATATTAACACACACACTGACACTTTTACACTGCACTTATAACCCAGCGGGGCCCAATCCGCTAGGTTATTTCACTACACACTTTTGCTAGAACACACTAACACCAACACTTTTATAACCTAGCGGGGCCCAATCCGCTAAGTTATATCACTTCTGGTAGAACAAATTTCAACACTTTTGGTAAAACACAATATCACTTTTAGTCAGGAATTGTCTTCAAAAATGTATATTAATGTTAGCAAATGTTTACGCAAACTTCTTCGCAACTTTTAAGTCAATTGCGCACTCAATATTAAGACACACACTGACACTTTTACACTGCACTTATAACCCAGCGGGGCCCAATCCGCTAGGTTATTTCACTAAACACTTTTTCTGGAACACACTAACACCAACACTTTTATAACCTAGCGGGGCCCAATCCGCTAGGTTATTTCACTAAACACTTTTGCTGGAACACACTTTTTTAACCTAGCGGGGCCCAATCCGCTAGGATAAAACACTTTTGCTGGAACACACTCACACTAACACTTTTATGACCTAGCGGGGCCCAGTCCGCTAGGCCACTTTACACACACTAACACTTTTATAACCTAGCGGGGCCCATTCAGCATGGCTACTTCACAATTTCACATTTCTGGAACAACACACGATTATAAACGCGGCACAACAATAGTTTCATTAAGGATGTACATTATAACATTTATTTCATTAATATTCATGCACTTTTTGTTTAACGAACGCGAGCCTGCCACCGCCGTGTTGTTTCCGCCGAATTAGTTTCCGCCATTTTGCGAAAAGAAAGTGATGGACAATTAGTATCGAGAAGCTGGAGCAGAGGTGGGGTATCCTATCGTTTATATTCGATGCTAATCGAAAGTCCGATCTGTGATCTCGAAAAAAATACCGCGAAAAAAATATGTTTTCCTCTAAAATAGTTGAATTGCTACCAATAAGAAAAGCAATACTTTGCAGAAGAATTTTTCACGTTCATAGTTGTTGCTGTTTTACTGGCGATGTTGCGTGCGAAGAACGCACCCCCGTGCGGCTCGTGTTCGACGATGCATTCAGTTGATCTCTCTGTTGCGTATAATTATTGCACATAATTACAAGACGCACTTTCTATTTAACGACCGCGTAGTTTCCGGTTTCCGCCAATTTGCTAAAGAGAGTGATGGACAATAAGTATCGAAGAAGCTGGATCAGAGGTGGGGTAATCCTATCGCTTATATACGATGCTAATCGCAAGTCCGATCTGTAACATCGAATAAAATGCCGCGAAAAAGGAAATTTTCTCGCTAAAATAAATTAATTTCAACCAATAAGATTAGCAATACTTAGTTGTAGAATTTTTCACGTTCATAGTTCGTGCGAAGAACGCACCCCCGCACGGAGGCTGTTGTTTATCTATGGATTCCGTTGATCTTTCTGTTGCACATAATGAGTGCACATAATTATACTTTTCTTGCACAGCACATGCTTAAAAAGGCGCCACGACCGTTTTTTAATTAGGTCAAACATTTCCGAATTGATATTCACGCACTTTTAAACGACCGATAGCCCGCGTAGTTTCCTCTATTTTGCGAAGGGGAAGAGTGATGGACAATTAGTATCGAAGAGGCTGGAGCAGAGGTGGGGTAATCCTATCGGTATCTTCTATCCGATGCTAATCGCAAGTCCAATGTATATGGTATTGTGAAAAATGCCGCGAAAAAGTACTTTTTCGCACTAAAATAATAGAATTGCCGCCAATTAGCAATACTTCCTAGTTGAAATGCATATTTTTGTCCATTTTACTGTACTATGAAGCGCAGTTGTACAGACAGAATCCCGCACCGCTCCGCTGCCACGGTGGCTGCTGTTTGTCGATGGATGCCGTAGATATTTTTAGAATTTTCTGCAAAAGCAAGTGAAATTACCTATTTGAAATTATTCTAATAAGAATCTTTCTAGGCATGGCGTCTGTAGGCTGTTACTCGTCACCGGGAGTTGTGGCGCATCGTCCTATTTGAGGCTCTGCCGCTGATATTATGGCATAGGAGTTGCGTCTCGGCTACTGTCAACAGGATGAAATCTAACTTCCCGCTTCGATGGATTAATTAATGGAGAGAATTACAGAAAGAGTGGCCTGCAAGTGGCGTGAGTGTGGAGATTGGCCTCTTAGCATCGTATAATTATTGCTTTAATTTCAGAGAAACAGAAGCTGTTTTAGGCGCAGCTAAAATGCTACCACATCAACTGCTGTCACAAAATCACCATGCCCCTCGGCAGAGTATTCAATTGCAGAGAGCAGCACAACTCAAAATGTTAACCTCCATTCACCAGCACACAGGGACAGCAGCAGAGACCGATTCCATTCTCATCCATTTCCTCAGAGCGAGAACCAGTTTCTCATTTGTTTGGCTTCGATGCCAGCCGGCCGGCGAATAACGAAGCACAGAGCAAAGAGAGACAACAAGAGAGCGAAAGAGAAGATAAACAGAAAAGTAAACAAACGTTGAGAGCAAAACAAAGGCTGAAAATAAACAGATTATTTCATGCTCAAAGCCGAAGATGGAACGAGAGACGATCGGATCAGAGAGCGAGCGACACATGCGAGAGATAAAGGTTTCTTTTTGGGATCCGGAATCGGTCTCGAGGAAAACTTCTCGCTGCAGTGACATCACTTGCCCGCGAGGAGCCATCCAGTGCGGTTGGATGAGCTCTCTGAAAAAGAAAATACAAATATACAACGAACCCAAAACGATAAGAAAGTGAAAAGTCTACAAGAGTGAAACCGGAAGTGAGGTCTTTGGAAAGGATTTTGGCTTATCGCCTGCCCAAGAATGGGGCTACCCGTGGCTGTGGGTGCGGCCCTGTGCCTACTGCTAGCGTTAGCCCAATGCCAGGCGGAGCTAACGCCTCCGTACTTCAATTTGGCCACTGGCCGTAAGATATTTGCCACTGCCACATGTGGCGAGGACACCGATGGACCCGAGCTCTACTGCAAGCTGGTCGGAGCCAATACGGAAAATGATCACATTGATTATTCGGTTATTCAAGGACAGGTAGGACACCAAAGGATGCCAGCAACGCCCCAAAGAAAAGAAAATTCTTTCTTTTTTTTCATGCGTATACATACAAGATCACGCGTGTGTGTGTTTGTGTGTGTGCCCCATGTGTTGCACGTTGCTTGGAGGCTCTAAAAATACTTTTGGAACTGGAACTCTATGGATTTTTCAAACATGTGTTTTTGCTTTCTTCTGCTTTTAGGTCTGCGATGTGTGTGATCCGAATGTGCCGGACAAGAATCATCCGCCAGAGAATGCCATCGATGGCACCGAAGCCTGGTGGCAGAGTCCGCCCTTGTCCCGAGGCATGAAATACAATGAAGTCGATTTGACCATCAATTTTGAACAGGTAAGGCCAACAGCAGCAGACAGAGATGAAAACGCACAAAAGAAAGGCTGCAGAGAGGGGCATAGAGAGGAAGAGTGTGTTGTGTGTGCGTTGAATGCAACTTGTTTTTCGGGGTTTCAGGTTCTTCTGCTGAAACGTGTTGCCTCCTGTCCGTGTGCCTTGTCGGGTAACGTTCAATTTAAAACATTCTTTAATGGGTTTTCATTTCGACAACGTAAGCAGAAATCGACAGCAAAGAACCAAAGAGTCTCACATTGCCCATTGAAATATTTTGCTGATGCCTGAAGCTCTGGAGTTTTGTCGCTGGGGTTATCAGCGGACTGTGTAGCCCTTCTATATGTATCAGAGCAACAGATAGAGTGTGGCATGTACATAAGTCTGGGCTGCTTCGTATGAATGAAGCGAGTCTCAGCTTACTCGGAGCATTGACTCTTTTTCTTTTCTTTTTCTAAAAGCGATAAGCACATGGAATAAAATGCCACAGCATGCTGCGACACTTTGTACGAGAATTGGGAGCAGCTTATCGCGCTAGAGGCAGCATAAAGTAAACTACAGCCAACAGAGCTTATCTGCCTCTCAAATATATAGTGCTCTGAGGTCAAATCTATGTGGCAACGGAAATGGTATGCGATACGGCGTAGGGGGAGGCTTCCTTAAATAATTTTATAGAATAATTGCACTGCAACATGATCTCAGACTCTGCCATTAATTTGCACAAACAGAGAATGCAATTCCATGCAAGAGAATTCCATTTGTAGCTGAGTTAATAGTTTATATTTAGCTGGCACAGCATTTTGTGTACATTTAGAGCTTCATTTTGGGGAGACTTTTTCGGTTGAACATGTGGCGCAATTATGTTCTGTTTGCGCAGAGAATTATTGAAATGAACTTCCACCACATGGAATATGCCAACAGAAAACTAAACAAATCAAAGATATACACACACACATGCCTGGGTCTCTCTTTTCAATTGAAAGCAAATTGAAAAAGCAAATAAAAGCGACAAGAAAACCAAATAAACGGGCAAAGAATTCTCTGTTTGGAGTTACTCCAATGATCTCATTGCCGCCTCTCTGTGTAGTTTCGTTTGTGTATCTGTGAGATCTGTTTAATTTTAATAAATTTGCTTCCCTTGTCATAGGAATTTCATGTCGCTTACTTGTTCATACGCATGGGCAACTCGCCGCGTCCTGGTCTGTGGACATTGGAGAAATCTGTGGATTATGGCAAGACCTGGACACCCTGGCAACATTTTTCGGACACGCCCGCCGATTGTGAGACGTACTTTGGTAAGGACACTTACAAGCCCATCTCCCGGGACGACGATGTTATCTGCACGACGGAATACTCGAAGATTGTGCCGCTGGAGAATGGCGAGATACCCGTGATGCTGCTGAATGAGCGGCCGAGCAGCACAAATTACTTTAATTCGTCGGTGCTGCAGGAGTGGACACGTGCCACCAATGTGCGCATACGTCTGCTGCGTACCAAGAATCTGTTGGGCCACTTGATGTCTGTCGCCAGGCAGGATCCCACTGTGACGCGTCGCTACTTCTACTCGATCAAGGACATCTCGATTGGTGGCCGCTGCATGTGCAACGGCCATGCGGACACCTGTGACGTGAAGGATCCAAAGAGTGCTGTGCGGATACTCGCCTGCCGCTGCCAGCATCACACGTGCGGCATTCAGTGCAACGAATGTTGCCCCGGCTTCGAGCAAAAGAAGTGGCGCCAGAACACCAATGCGCGGCCCTTCAACTGCGAGCGTAAGTAGAGCATAACGTGGAAAGCCTTTGGGGCATCATTTGATGTGGGCTAATCCATTTTCTAGCGTGCAATTGCCATGGCCACAGCACGGAGTGCAAGTACGATGAAGATGTGAATCGCAAGGGTCTGTCGCTGGACATTCATGGCCACTACGATGGCGGTGGCGTGTGCCAGAACTGTCAGCACAACACTGTAGGCATCAACTGCAACAAATGCAAGCCCAAGTACTATCGGCCCAAGGGCAAACACTGGAACGACACGGATGTCTGCAGTCGTAAGTGGAACACAGACACGAACTTTTACTTTGATTTTTGATTCCCACTCTTTCTGACAGCCTGCCAGTGCGACTTTTTCTATTCCACCGGCCACTGTGAGGAGGAGACTGGCAATTGCGAGTGTCGTGCCGCCTTCCAGCCGCCCAATTGTGATTCCTGTGCTTACGGCTACTATGGCTACCCGAACTGTCGCGAATGTGAATGCAATTTGAATGGCACGAACGGCTATCACTGCGAGGCGGAGAGCGGGCAGCAGTGTCCCTGCAAGATCAACTTTGCTGGCTCCTACTGCAAACAGTGTGCCGAGGGCTACTACGGCTTTCCCGAGTGCAAGGCCTGCGAATGCAATCAGATTGGTTCCATCACAAACGACTGCAATGTGACGAGCGGAGAGTGCAAATGTTTGACCAACTTTGGTGGCGATAATTGCGAGAGATGCAAGCATGGCTACTACAATTATCCAGCGTGTTCATGTGAGTAGCGACAGTTTCACTGCTGCCTGCAGTTTCAGCAACCCTTTCCCTCCCTTTTGCAGACTGCGATTGCGACAATCAAGGCACAGAGTCGGAGATTTGCAACAAACAGTCGGGGCAGTGCATCTGTCGAGAGGGTTTCGGTGGTCCGCGCTGCGATCAGTGCCTGCCCGGTTTCTACAACTATCCCGATTGCAAGCCCTGCAACTGCTCGAGCACCGGCAGCTCGGCCATCACCTGCGACAACACGGGCAAGTGCAATTGCTTGAACAACTTTGCCGGCAAACAGTGCACGCTGTGCAGTGCCGGCTACTACAGCTATCCGGATTGTTTGCGTAAGTACAGAGCGAAGAAATCCGCAGCTCGAACTCTGTTTAATCTAGAACTCTCCCTTTGGTAGCCTGCCACTGTGATTCGCATGGCTCACAGGGCGTCACGTGCAATGCCGATGGGCAGTGCCTGTGCCAGCCCAACTTTGATGGACGCCAGTGTGATTCGTGCAAGGAGAGCTTCTACAATTTCCCCAGCTGCGAGGACTGCAACTGTGATCCCGCGGGCGTGATTGATAAATTCGCTGGCTGTGGCTCGGTGCCCGTGGGCGAGCTGTGCAAGTGCAAGGAGCGCGTCTCGGGACGCATCTGCGATGAGTGCAAGCCGCTGTATTGGAATCTGAACATTAGCAATCCCGATGGCTGCGAGAACTGCGACTGTTGGACAGATGGCACCATCTCTGGGTTGGATACATGCGCCTCCAAGTCCGGGCAGTGTCCGTGCAAGCCGCACACCCAGGGACGCCGCTGCAAGGAGTGCCGCGATGGCACCTTCGATCTGGACAGCTCCTCGCTGTTTGGCTGCAAGGATTGCCAGTGCGATGTGGGTGGCTCGTGGGCCAGTGTCTGTGACAAGACGAGTGGCCAGTGCAAGTGCCATCCCCGTGTCACGGGACGTGCCTGCACGCAGCCTCTGACCACGCACTACTTCCCGACGTTGCATCAGTTCCAGTACGAGTACGAGGATGGTACGCTGCCTTCGGGCACGCAAGTGCGTTACGATTACGCTGAACAGGAGTTCCCAGGATTCAGCAGCAAGGGCTATGTGGTGTTCAACACAATACAGAACGAAGTCCGCAACGAGTTGACCGTGTTCAAGTCCTCCCTTTATCGCATTGTCCTGCGCTATGTGAATCCCAATGATGAGAATGTGACAGCCACCATACTGATTCAGTCGGAGAACCCCCAGGAAGTGGATCAAAAGTGAGTAGAGACTGGATACCTAAGGGATTTCCCGCTGCCATTAATATCGTGTTATTTCACAGCGTCAAGGTCCTGCTGCAACCGACAAAGGAGCCGAAATTCGTCACTGTGTCTGGACCCAAGGGCCTCAAGCCCTCGGCCATTGTGTTGGATCCGGGACCACGCTATGTCTTCACCACCAAAGCCAGCAAGAATGTGATGCTCGATTACTTTGTGCTGCTGCCCGCTGCCTACTACGAGGCATCCATTCTCACGCGCCAAATCTCGAATCCGTGCGAACTGGGCAACATGGAGCTGTGTCGCCACTACAAGTACGCCTCCGTGGAGGTCTTTGAGCCGACTGGCGTGCCCTTCCTCATTGGCTCGAATGGCAAGCCCGCAAAGGCCGCCGAAGTGTACAGCGATCCGGAGCATTTGCAGATTGTGAGCCATGTGGGGGATGTTCCGGTGCTTAGCCGATCGCAGCCGGAGCTGAATTACATTGTGGATGTGCCACAGAGTGGACGCTACATCTTTGTGATTGATTACATTAGCCACAGGAACTTTACGAACACGTATTACGTGAATCTGCGACTGAAGAATGATCCCGATTCGGAGACATCTGTGCTGCTGTATCCCTGCCTGTACTCCACCGTTTGTCGCACCTCCGTGAATGATGATGGCCTGGAGAAGAGTTTCTACATAAGCAAGGAGGATCTGCAGCCCGTTATCATCTATGTGAGTGCCACTAAACCATAACTTATATGCAGAAGTATAACCATAAATTGTGTTTCCGCTCCAGGCTGACATTACGGATGAATATCGTGTGCCCATCATTTCGGTTACGGCTATTCCAGTGGATCAATGGTCCATTGATTACATCAATCCCAGTCCCGTATGTGTCATCCACAATCAACAATGCTCGACGCCCAAATTTGTCTCTGTGCCGGACTCCAAGAAGATTGAATTCGAAACGGATCATGAGGATCGCATTGCAGTCAACAAACCACCATACGCGGCGCTCGACGAACGTGTAAAGCTCGTGCATTTGGATGGAAAGGAAGAGGGTAGCATTGTGATTGAGTAAGTGCATCCATTTTTGTAACTAAATTTAGTTTTAATGTAGCTGGCAGCAGTTTTCACATTTTCTCTGTTTGAATTCGCGCTTTGTTATCGATTGACATGCCTATCGATTCATGTGCTAAGCGATAGTTGCGCATGTGGGGCTTTCAGGTTATGTTTATTGGGGGTGCTCCAGTACCAAACATATGTACTTACATATTTATTTATGATGCTCCCACAGGTCAAAGGTTGCCGAGCCTGGCCGTTATGTAATACTGGTGAAATATTACCAGCCAAAGCATCCCAAATATCAGGTATACTTCACCTTGACAGCAGCCAAAAACCAATACGATGGACACTTTGACATCGAGCATTGCCCCTCAAGCTCTGGCTGCCGCGGCGTGATCCGCCCAGGCGGCGAATACGACTGGTTCGACATTGATGATGAATTTCATTTCACAATTACAGTAAGCAATGATAGTTTAGCCCTAAGAGTATATCCATTAAAAGCGAAAACTCTTCACAGAATGATCGTCCGCAAGGCGTTTGGTTGGACTATCTTGTGGTGGTGCCGCTGAAGCAATACAACGAGGATCTGCTGGTGGAGGAAACCTTCGATCAGACGAAAGAGTTTATCAAGAACTGTGGCCACGATGACTTCCACATCACGCACAATGCCAGCGAATTCTGCAAGAAGGCCGTCTTCTCCCTGACGGCGGACTACAACAGCGGAGCGCTGGCCTGCAACTGCGACTATGCGGGCTCCACGAGCTTCGAGTGCCGTCCGTTCGGGGGCCAGTGCCAGTGCAAGCCGAATGTGATTGACAGGCAGTGCGGCAGTTGCCGCAGTCGCCACTATGGCTTCCCCGATTGCAAGCCCTGCCAGTGCCCCAGCAGCGCCATGTGCGAATCCACCACCGGCGAGTGCATGTGTCCCCCGAATGTGATTGGTGACATGTGCGAGAAGTGCGCACCGAATACGTATGGCTTCCATCAGGTCATTGGCTGCGAGGAGTGCAACTGCAACTATCTGGGCATTGCCAATGGCAACACCCAGTGCGACATGTTCAACGGCACCTGCGAGTGTCGCGAGAACATCGAGGGCAGAGCCTGCGATGTGTGCGCCCATGGCTACTATCAGTTCCCGCGCTGCGAGCAATGCTCCTGCCACAAGCCGGGCACAGAGCTGGAGGTTTGCGACAAGATCGATGGCAGCTGCTTCTGCAAGAAGAATGTCGTGGGACGCGACTGTGATCAGTGTGTGGATGGCACGTACAATCTACAGGACAGCAATCCCGATGGCTGCACCACTTGCTTCTGCTTTGGCAAGACCTCACGCTGCGATAGCGCTTACTTGCGTGTCTACAATGTCAGTCTGCTGCGTCAGGTGTCCATCAGCACCGCGGAGTTCAACAACAACAACAAAACCATTGAATTTGAGCTTTGGGCCGTGGCGCCCGAGGAACTGCAACTGAACGAGACAACGCTCCAGGCGGACTTCACATCGCGCGAGGTGAGCGACGAGAGACCCGCGTACTTTGGCGTCCTTGACTATCTCCTGAATCAGAACAGTCACATCTCCTCGTATGGCGGAGATCTGGCCTACACGCTGCACTTTAGCTCTGGCTTTGATGGCAAATCGATCGTCGCACCCGATGTCATTCTAATGGGCAAGGACAAGGTGCTGGTGCATCAGAGCTACGAGCAGCCGAGCCGGAATATGCCCTTTGCCAATCGCCTGCAAATGGTTGAAACGAACTTCCAGACGCACTCCGGAAAGAGCGTCTCGCGTGCGGACTTTATGATGGTGCTGCGCGACCTCAAGGCCATCTACATTCGTGCCAACTACTGGGAGCAGACGCTCATCACGCAGATCTCGGATGTGTACCTATCGCTGGCGGATGAGGATGCTGATGGCACAGCGGAATATCAATTCCTGGCCGTCGAACGTTGCTCCTGCCCGCCCGGCTATGTGGGCCATTCGTGCGAGGACTGTGCACCAGGCTATTACCGTGATCCAAATGGTCCCTATGGCGGCTACTGCATCCCCTGCGAGTGCAACGGCCACTCGGAGACGTGTGACTGCGCCACGGGCGTCTGCACGGACTGCCAGCACGGCACCCAGGGCGAACACTGCGAGGAGTGCGTGTCGGGCTACTACGGCAATGCCACCACTGGCACGCCCCTCGACTGCATGATCTGCGCCTGTCCCCTGCCTTACGATTCGAACAACTTTGCCACCAGCTGCGAGATCTCCGAGTCGGGCAATGAGATCCATTGCGAGTGCCGTCCCGGCTACACCGGACCCCGCTGCGAGTCCTGCGCGAATGGCTTTTACGGCAATCCCGAGGTGGTGGGCGATGTGTGCAAACCCTGCGACTGCTCGGGCAACATCAATCCCGAGGATCAGGGCTCGTGTGACACGCGCACCGGCGAGTGCCTGCGCTGCCTGAACAATACATTTGGCGCCGCCTGCAATCTGTGTGCGCCCGGCTTCTATGGCGATGCTGTGAAGCTGAAGAACTGCCAGAGCTGCGACTGCGATGATCTGGGCACCCTCGAGTGCGATCCGTTTGTGGGCAAGTGCACCTGCCACGAGAATGTTATTGGCGAGCGCTGCGATCGCTGCAAGGCCGATCACTATGGCTTCGAGTCGGGTCTGGGCTGCCGCGCCTGTGACTGCGGTGCCGCCTCCAACTCCACGCAATGCGATGCCCACACTGGACACTGTGCCTGCAAGCCGGGCGTCACGGGTCGCCAATGCGATCGCTGTGCCGTGGATCACTGGAAGTACCAGAAGGATGGCTGCACCCCGTGCAACTGCAATCAGGGCTATTCGCGTGGATTTGGCTGCAATCCGAACACCGGCAAGTGCCAGTGCCTGCCGGGCGTGATTGGTGATCGCTGCGATGCGTGCCCTAATCGTTGGGTTCTCATCAAGGACGAGGGCTGCCAGGAGTGCAATAATTGCCATCATGCGCTGCTCGATGTCACGGACAAGATGCGCTACCAAATCGACAGTGTTCTGGCGGACTTTGGCAGCGTAACGCTGGCCTTCTTCACCAGCCAAAAGCTGAACTATTACGACAATCTGGCGGATGAGTTGGTGCCGAAAATTAAGGCATTGGATCCCACCAGCGTGGACCTGAACCCCTCGAAAAAATCCAACAGCGACCTGGAGGCCGATGCCAAGAGCTATGCAAAGCAAGTGAATCAAACGCTGGCCAATGCGCTGGACATACGCGACAGATCGAGCACCACGTTGGGCAACATAACCAACGCCCACGAAGAGGCACTAAAGAGTGCAGATCAGGCGAGGGAAGCCATTGCTGCCGTGGAGGCGTTGTCCAAGAATCTTGAGACTGCAGCCAGCACAAAGATTGAGGCGGCCCTCGAGCAGGCACAGCACATACTGGGACAGATAAACAACACGGAGATCCCGTTGCTGGCCAACGAACAGGTGCTGGAGAAGGCGCGTCTGTTGTACGACGATGTGGACACTTTGGTGCAGCCAATCAAGGAGCAAAATCGCAGCTTAAACGCGCTGAAGAATGACATTGGAGAGTTCAGCGACAAGCTGGAGGATCTGTTCAACTGGAGCGAGCAATCGGAGACGCAGTCCGCGGAAGTTGAGCGCCTGAATGTCGTCAACAAACAGTCGTTTGACAACTCCAAGTTCGACACCGTCTCGGAGCAGCAGCAGCAGGCAGAGACGAACATCAAGGATGCTGGCAATTACCTCATCAACGGGGATCTCACTCTGAGCCAGATTGGCCAGAAGTTGGACAATCTACGCGATGCCCTCGAGGAGCTGAAGTCTGTGAACAAAAACGTGGACGAGGAGCTGCCCGCGCGCGACGATCAGCACCAAGAAGCGGAACAGCTGACGGGCCAAGCGGAGATGAAAGCCGCTGGGCTGGCCATCAAGGCGCAAGATCTCGCAGAGCAATACACGGACATGACGGCCCACGCAGAGCCCGCAATCAAGGCAGCCACCGCCTACTCGGGCATTGTTGAAGCCGTGGATGCTGCACAGCAGTTCAGTCAGGATGCCATCACGGCTGCAGGCAATGCCACACAAATCACCGATGGCATTGAAGAGCGTGCCGGCCAGGCGGACTCCGAGTCTGCGGAACTCCTCCAAAAGGCACGTCAATCCCTGCTGAAGGTGCAGGATGATTTGGAGCCACGACTGAACAGCTCGGGCGGCAAGGTGCAACAGATTTCGCAGCGCAACAATGCCACTGAGCAGCAGCTGAAGGATATTAATATACTCATCGCCCAACTGCCGGCAGCGGCACAGCGTGACATGTGGAAGAGTTCGAATGCGAATGCCAGCGATGCGCTGGAGATTCTCAAGAATGTCCTGGAAATCCTCGAGCCAGTGAGCGCACAGACGCCCAAGGAGCTGGAGAAGGCGCACAACATCAATCGGGATTTGGATCTGACCAACAAGGACATCTCGCAGGCCAACAATCAGCTGGACAATGTCGATGGCTCCGTGTCGAAGCTTGTGGAATTGGCCGAAGATGTCGAAGATCAGCAGCAGCGCGTGACCGCCCAAACACTGAAGCTCGGCCAAGACATTGAGAACCTCAAGCGGCAGGTGGAGACGGCCCGTCAGTTGGCCAACAACATCAAGGTGGGCGTCAAGTTCCGCCCAAGCACCGTGCTCGAACTGAAGACACCCGAAAAGGCCAAGCTGCTGGCCACACGCACCAATCTGTCCACGTTCTTCCGCACCAACGAGAAGTCTGGCTTCCTGGTCTTCCTGGGCAACGACAATGCCACAGCTCAGAAGAACAAGGACTTTGTGGCCGTGGAGATTGTCAATGGCTATCCCATCCTGACCATCGATCTGGGCAACGGGCCGCAGCGCATCACCAACGACAAGTACGTGTCGGATGGAAAGTGGTACCAAGCGGTGGTCGATCGCGTGGGTTCCGTGGCGAAGCTCACGATACGCGAACAGCTGCCGAACGGCGAGGTTGTGGAGCACCAGAGCGAACCCACTCAGCTGGAGGGTTCCCAGAACATACTCCATGTGGATCGCAATAGTCGCCTGTTTGTGGGTGGCTATCCGGGTGCACCAGACTTTGCAGCGCCCGAGGATATCACCGCAAACTACTTCAACGGCGACATTGAGGATCTGCGCATTGGTGACGAGAATGTGGGACTCTGGAACTTTGTCTATGGCGAGGATAATGTCGAGGGTGTGCGCGAACGAGATGTGCTGCTCGAGAAGAAGAAACCGGTGACGGGGCTGCGCTTCAAGGGCAACGGATACGTTCAGCTGAATGCCACATACAACTTCAAGAGCCGCTCGACCATCAAGTTCAACTTCAAGGCCGACAAGGACAGCAGCAATGGGCTGTTGTTCTTCTACGGCCGCGACAGGCATTACATGTCCATTGAGCTGGTCGATGGCGCGGTTTACTTCAACATTAAGCTGGGCAACGGCGGCGTCTCGTCGGGCAGCAGCAATCGCTACAATGACAATCAGTGGCACACCGTGGAGGCTGGACGAGATGGACGCACCGGACTGCTGAAGGTGGACGACATACTGCTCTTCCATGAGACAGCACCAGCGGAGGCGGACGAGGAGTTGCCGAAGCTGCGACGCATGTACTTCGGTGGCTATCCGCGACGTTTGAACAACTCGGAGATTGTGCCACAAAACTTTGATGGCTGCATCGATGATGTGATCATCTCTGGCATTGTCGTGGACCTCACGGAGTATGTGAATGGCACGGGCGTGGAGGAGGGCTGCCCCGAGCGGTTCTCCACTGTGCTGTCGTTTGCCCCGAACGAGTATGGGTTCCTGCGCACCCACAACATCTCCACGGACAACGATCTGCACGTGAATTTGCGCTTTAAGACACGCCAGCCCAAGGGCATTCTGTTCTATGCCACCAACAATGATCAGAGCTCGACCATTGGCCTCACGCTGGACGATGGCTATCTGAAGCTAAGGAGTCAGGGCAGCGAACTGGTCATCGATCAGCGTGCCTTCAACGATGGCGAAGATCATGTGGTCACAGTGCAGCATAATGCTGGCGAGCTGCGTCTTTCAGTGGATGATGAAGAGGAGGAACGGTAGGGATAGCTCAGGTTTCTGCTTTTACTCTCAGTCTAATCTATTTATTTCTTACAGTTTGGGCTCCCCTGAACCTCTGTACATTGAGTCTGGTGACATATTCTTTGCTGGTCTGCCGGACAACTATCAGACACCGCGCGGTGCACTCTCAACGCTCGCATACTTTGTGGGCTGCATCAGCGATGTGACCGTGAACGATGAGATCATTAATTTTGCCAACAGTGCGGAGAAGAAGAATGGCAACATCAATGGCTGTCCACCGGACATACTAGGTAAGATATGGAGATGCCTAAACGATCCTCAACGTTCGTAATTGTTTTGTTTCTCTTTTTCCCATCAGCTTACGAACCGGATCTTCTGCCAAACTATTATCCAAGTGGCGACAATGAGCTGGAACCGCCATCACCAGGCAGAATAACGACACACAAGCCAGTGGCCACTCCACCACCAAGCACGACTACCACAACCACCACAACACCTGCCACAACCACTAGCACCACGACCACAACCACAACCACAACGATGCGCACCACAGCAGCAGAGCCAGAGGTATTCGGTGCGGACATTATGCCGCAGAAAACGCTGACCACACGACCCACACCGAAGATGAATCAGCCGAGCGATGAGCGTTGCAAGCTGCCCGTGAATCCCAATTATGATGTGGATTTCGAGACGGGTGGCTACCGCTTCTACTCGCTGAAGGAGCAGCGGCTGGAGATCAACTCGCTGCCGGTGAAACTTAGACGTCATCACGATGTGAGCATCTCGTTCCGCACCGAGTATCCGAATGGACTGCTCTTCTATGCGAGCAGCAAGCAGAAGGATGACTTTATAGCTGTCTATCTGCTGGATGGACGGGTGACCCATCAGCTGCGAGTGGGAGCTGTCCTCACGGCGAACATCACCAGCGAATCGGAGCTGAACGATGGCAAGTGGCACACGGTGGAAATTGTGCGCACCTCGATGCGCGTCAGCCTGATCATCGACCACACAGAGCAGGCGGGCTCGGTGGAGTTAAGCCAACAGCGCAACGCACCTGTGCTGACAGTCGAGATGCCCATCTATGTGGGCGGCATTACCAAGTTTGTGGAGTCGGAGCTGAAGAATCACACGTACTTTGGGGGAAACACTTCGTACTTCAATGGCTGCCTGAAGGACATCAAGTTCGATGGTGTGGCGCTGGAGACAGAGCCCACCAAGTACTCCGTGGTGCCCTGCTCCGATCAGGTGGAGAGTGGAGTCTTCTTCCACAGCAGCTCAAGCAGCACAATACCACCGTATGTGAAGCTCTTCGAACGCTTCACCGTTGGCGCCGTGATGACCATCAGCTTTGATTTCCGTCCCCGCGAGCCGGACGGTCTGCTCTTCTCGGTGCACGGCAAGAACTCCTATGCCATTCTCGAGCTGGCGGACAATACCCTTTACTTCACCGTCAAATCGGATGCGAAGAGCATTCTCATGACGAATTTCACGTTGCCCGCAAACGAGAGCTTCTGCGATGGCAAGCAGCGTCATGTGCAGGCCATCAAATCGAAGTTTGTCATCAACATTGCCGTGGACTTTGTCAGCTCCAATCCGGGAGTGGGCAACGAGTCCTCTGCCCAGACCAAGACAAATCGTCCGCTGTTCATGGGCGGACATCATGCCTTCCAGAAGGCTCCAGGCATCAAGACCAAGAAGACCTTCAAGGGTTGCATCAGCAATGTGGAAATCAACAAGAAGGCAATTCGAATTACGCCAAATATGATCACTGGCGACATTTGGCAGGGCTACTGCCCGCTCGCCTAAATAGAGAAACCCCAGAGAACGACCCTTGGAAGTGCTTAAAGGACAAACGATTTTGGAATTGTATAAACTATGAAATTATGCCCCATGGAAAGTTGACTAAACTTGCAATCAAAGGACAAACGAAACGAACAAATTAACCAAAACGAACAATACCCAATCGACGCGTCAGAAGTCAAGTCTGGGGTTCCTGCATTAAAGTGGACCTCTAGCCGATCTGCCTGTCGTATATTCAATGTAGAATTTAAACCTTTTCTTTGTGCCAATTTATATTCGTAATTTCTTTTTGTATTTTTCAGTTATTTGAGAGCTCTCTCTTTCTTGCATTTGTATTTTATCTTTGAAGTCGAATAAATATTAAAATCATTAAATATCAAAATAAGACAGTGATTTAATTCGGTTTAAAAGCACACAAAGCAGCTATGAGGATTCTTGGATCATAAACTGATCGAAAAGATGAGCGTCAAGGAATAAAATTAATTTGCTTTCGAATTCCCAGCCATTCTCTTTTTCCACTCTTCGCTTGTGCAACGAAGAATAAGTGTAGGAGCAATGGCAAGCGTGGAAGGGGACAGGGAAGTGCGTAAATTAATTCAAATTTTGGTTTGTTGATGGTAATGTTATACATACATATTTATTCATATATAGTATATATAGTTTCTCAATTATCGAATCATTAAATGGAGTTTACAGTACCACAAATATTCAGAAAAAACCAGCAAGGAAATTTCTTGCTTACTAGTTTTCCCCAAATATTTGCATTTTGTTTAGATAGGGAATCGGATCATATATCTCGTATATGTATATGTTTATAATGTATATTTATGTGTACTACAATTTGTTTAGAAATGTTTGCAGTTCAAATCTATATTCCAAAAGGTGGCGGAAAGACGATATAAAAGGCATTGGAGTTATTTCATTGGGAAGTTTAATTTAATATTTAAATAGATACGAAATTATACGATTCTGCACAAATGATATCCTTTCCATTTCCTCTGAACTCCATTTTATGTTCTAATATTTTTGCTGTTAAATTTTGTTGTCCTACTTTTTGACCTAACACATTTCGTAGTGAAAAATCATAAAACAAAATCCCATGATGGATAATTGTTTTTGTTCATAAATATATTATATTTATATGTATATGTGTGTGTGTGTGTGTGTATTCAATGTGTTTGTGTGTTGATTTCTATTTTTTTGTTTTGTTTTGTTTTTATTTTATTTTAGTTACTGCTTAAACGCTAATCACTAAGATCACCCGAGAGAGATACAAACGCACGCGAACGCGACCGGATTCCGCGATGAATCCGGTTTAAGGTACAACGAAATCACGATTTTTAGTTTCATTTAGTTTTGCAATTGGTTTATATTTTATTTTTTATTATTAATAGTTTTGAAGTATTTTTTTCATTATTATTTGGGACTCGGGGGCGAAAGTCCCTTATTTTTTAAGACTTTTATATCCTGTTTAGTTTTTAGTTTTGAGTTTAACGCGACGCGAACGAACGACCCGAAGTTACATTATTATCACACGTTCCCCCTTGTTTGGTTTTGTTTTTTTTTTTCTCCGAAACGAAAAAAAAAATAAACACAAACTTAAACGAAGTTTGCATTTAATTACATAATACTATTACTTAGATTTACTTGGTTTACTCATCATTATCATCAGCTATCTTCTTAATCTTCATTTTATTCTGACTGAGTTTTGGTTTTAGTTTCTCTATTCTCCTTATTCTTTTTTGTTTTTGTTTTTCATTTGTTCCGCGACAATTTCAAAGACTTTTGTTTCCATTTAGTAGTACATTGTTTTTACACCCTAATCATAGTACAATTGTAAAAAAAATAAACAACATACAAATTTCTGTACATTAGAAATGATTCTTTTGTGGGAGGGGAAAAAGGATCTTACGCAAAAGACGAAAGCCTATACAAAACGTAAATGAAAGCAAAAGTTTTCGATGCAAATTATATGTATGTATAGATGTATGTAGTAGTCGCATAATGATTAATTTAATTACACTTGTCCCTATACAACGAAAAAAAACTATATAATAATACTTTAAAAAGTGATCAGTCAATTGTTTTTTTGTATTCAGTTATTCAGATCGCACAAAAACAACAAATTATCATACTCAACGAAATCCTAATCTCAAATTTGTTTTTCCCTATGCTTTCTTCTCTTTAAATTAAACGAAAATCTATAATTTTGTATATGAATATCATCCGTAGTAATGTGTATGTGTGTGTTTGTGTGTGGTGTATAAGTAAATTGTTGAATCTGTAACAGTTGCATTTTTGTATTATTGTAATCCTTGTATTATTTTCTTTTTGTTTCTTTTCTTTGTTTCCATTTTTTTTTTTTTGGTTTACCCGACGAAATACCACGTGACGATTGACGATTACCGAATTTACCGATTTTACGAACGAACGAACGAGAGCGACGAGATTACGCGAACGCGACGACGAACCCGAAACGCGACGATTTTTTTTGGTTTGTTTTTTATTATTTGTCATAATACATGAAAGTGTTGGGTTAAAATTGTGAAATTCATATCTTTACTTGATGAATGCTGTTCTATGGTGTTGTTTTATTTTATTTATTATTTTTTTTTTTTTTTGATCATCAGTCTTTATTTTGATTTGTAAGAGTTTTGGTTTAGCTGAAACATTTCCATAATTTCTTTCATTTTCAATTTCTATTCATTTTTTGTTGATTTCACAATTTTCCCAACTCTTTCAGTTTATGTTTTTATTGATTTACCGCGACACGAGTTTTCGACGATCGATTTGATTTCTTTATTATTTATTTATATTTATATTACCGCTTGGGGCACAACACCCGTGTGCTTGCCCCGTCAATTAATTTCCCTATTTTTTCTTGAGGCTGTGGCTGAGTGTATTGTTGGATTGTTTTGGGTATATCTATATATATATGTCTCTATAGCACTTGCATCCGGTTAAGTACGACCGGAACACATCATTCTATCCATGGATATACTTCATCTATTGATACTTGAGCTGAACAGACGGACAGGACAGGACTGCCTAAAGAAGCTCTTGCCAGATCTAAGATCTGCCTAATATTTTATCTCCTTCTCCTCTTGGATATATGCATGCGTGCTGGATATCTAGCTCAATCTCTATAAGATATAATTTATATATCGAATATAGTATGTGTGTGGTTATGCGTATGGTTATATGGTTTTATGTGTGTGTTTTTGCTGTTTTCAATTTTCAATTAATTAACGTAACATTCGAACAGCATCGAATCGGATAACTTAGGGCTGTGTTAAAGATTAAGACGAAGCCGGACAAACGTTGTTGCTACGACGCTGGCTTGTACATAATTGTCTAGTTTTTAGAACTCTGTCTCCTGTCTGCTCCACTCCGCTCTGAAACACTCCACGTGCCTTGCTTCGCCTTAAATGTTGTACATGGTGACCAGACGCTCGGCCAGTGTTGGCGGGAATTGTTCCACAAATCGACGCCAATTTTCCTCACCCACCTGTGTTTTGAAGCCATGGAGAATCTAATCGAGAATAAATCAAATAAGTGAGCAACATTTATGCAATTATATTTAAGTTTCCCATTACCTTTTGTATCATTTGATGCAGATCTTGGGGCGGATTCACCCACGAGGCAATCGCATCGCAAAAGAATATGAAATCGGGCACCACGCCAGCTGGATTCACCGTGATCATATTACACATGCCACGAAAGGCCGAGTCCTTCTCATCATTGTCCCTGATGTGACGCAACGATGTGCACCTGTATATTTCGAATGTTTTCAACAAGAATGTTTAGTAAATAATATATTAGCATTGGAGCAGCGAACGCAGGCACGAAAGTTCAAATGTGAAGCGTTTGAAATTCCCAGTCAATTTTGTGAGGCGATGAGAGAGAGTACAAATGATGGATGGAACTGTGTGGGGTACGGCTGGGATTGTTTGTTTGTTTTAGTGTTAAGCATAATTTAGGGTTTGTTATATTGGAAAAAGAAAGCATAATCTAGTTGAATTGAATATAAAAACGTGTTACACACCACTGTCGTACAAATTCGGGCAAATAAGGAGCCACTTCAACCGGGCACACATAACCTAGACGACCGATTGTTATTGCTAAAATGAACAGAAAGATAAAGTAAAAGAATTTGAAATCAGATAAAATCATACATTTAACACACATATACATATATATGAAGAAAATTAATAAATTGCACAGATATATTTTGATTCTTAATTATCCTTATATCTATGCATGTGGTACGGGTATGTGAATGAATTTCGATTCGATATTAGTTCGTTTTGCTGCTGCTGCACAGAACATGCAACAATTAACAGTAAATAAAGACAGAAACAAGTATTGAAATATTCCACATACACACATACATACAGAGATATATTGTTAAATAAATATATTTATTGTTAGACAACTTTTTTGTAGTGCAATTTCGAGCCTCATCGAACCACTCACCTGTGTTTTCCAGCAGCGTCTTGGGCGTATTCGGTCGATTAATTATAACAAACAAATCGGTGAGCACTAGATGAATGTACTGCTTTGTTTCCTCACCTGCAAATTAAAGAATAAAATATTAATCTTCGATTATAAATAAGGCTCCATGGAGCTCCCCTAAAACTCACCCAATTTCATGCAAATCTCTCCTATGGCCCAAGTGGCATTATTGCACACAGAAATGAAATCGGGATTCAGATTTTGGCCCAAAATGGGAAAGAATTCGGCCATAAATGGATGCACATGGGGGAAACAGGCCTTGGTTAGATCTCCCAGCAGTGCAAATGACGATTGGCGCACCTACAAAAATTCAATTAATTTTTAATTACAAGAAAAGAAAATCTTCGCTTGAACGCACCTCTGGGAGAACATCCTGCATGCATTGATAGAGCAGATGCATTATGTTGCTGTTGGCCACCAGTGTCTCAATGTGACGATCCAGACCCTCGGCTAGGCCCGACAACAGATCCAATGCCACAATCATGCGCTCCTTGTCCGGATGCTCGAACGCTTGATTCTGTTTGCAAAGCTGCAAGTACGAACAAAAGTCAACATAGGAACTCAAGGGCAGAGATAAACGGAAGTACCATTTCCTGGTTAATTGTTTGCTCAATGAGGGATATGCAGCGTCTGTAGACCGGATCGCAGTAGGGCAGAAAGCCGGATTGCAGCGCTGTGGCAATGCTCGAGAGGCATTCCAGCAGTGGGAATAGATCCTTGTCGTCGTCCTTCAGCAGATTCCACTTGTCGATCAGTGGCGGCATCAGAATGTCAATGTACTGCGACTTGTTTAGATGATGGCCAACCGAATCTGCCAAAGTGCCAACGGCATCGTATAGGATCAGCAGATTCTTGTGCTGGTACTTGGAGAAGGCAAAGACGAGCGTCTTGAGGATGTACTCCAGGTAGGGCACCAGCTCTGTGCATGCCTCCTCCTCGAGAGTGGCAAAGGCCGAACAGGCTGCCTCCTGCACGCGCTTATTCGAGTCGAGGATGCGCTTGAGCAGCTCCTCCATGAGGGGCTTTAAGTATTGATCGTGCGGCTGACCGACCACCCAATTAGCGTACCGCGACAGTGTCCAGCAGGTGATGGAGCGCACCAGGGCCTTCTTGTCGGACAGGCAGCTGATGAGGTAGGGAATCAGTTCCGGCAAATGTTGAATCATTCCCTGCATACAGCCCTCGGCAATGGCGCCCAGGGCCAGGACACCGCTCTCCTTGATCACCCACTCCTGGTGGAAGAGCGTCTCCTTAAGGATGGGCAGCACAATGGGCAGACAATCCTCGCGGAACACATTGGCCAGAACGTCCAGAGCGGCCGCACTGCACTTGCGCAAATTCCACTCCGACAGGGAACTGTCATCGTCCAGGCCATCGTCGTAATCATCGTCATCATCCTCGCCGGCTGCTCCCGCCCCGCCACCGCCCGCCTCCTGGCCACTCTTGATCGTGTGTGTGCGGGACTTGTGGAATCGCGGCCTAATATCCTCCTCCCGATCTGGCACCATGTCATCCTCCTCCACATTGCCCTTGAGCAGGATAATATCAATCTCCGAATACCTCATGCCGCGCACCAGTATGGGCGCCAGCTGCGCCAGATAAGGAGCCAACACATCCTTGCAGATGCTCTGCTCGGCGAGCGACAGCCAAAACTCGGATGCCTCCAAGGCGACACCCTCGTCAGAGTCTTGGGTGCGCAGCAGCATGTACTAAAACGGACACGAAAAGACATTAAAGACGGTCGAACAGATGGACAATCCTGTGAGCCACTCACCTCTATGATCTGCGACATGTGTGGCATCAAACGATCCATGCGCACCTCGAGCAGCATGACGAGTCCGTGGCAAACGTTCTTGCGCACCTCGTGATCCTCATCGGACGACAAGTGGAACAGATTCTCAATGAAGCTGTCAATGTTGATCATCAGCGCCTGGGAGCGGTTGATGATGAACTGATTGATGCAAGCAATCGCATGGGAACGGATCTTGGGGCTGGAGTGCTTGAAGTACTGCAAGAACTTGGGAATCATTACGTTCAGGGGTCTGTTCAGAGCAGCCGAGTCCAATATCTCGGCGGAATCTTCGCATATCTTTTGTAGAGCACTAAATGCACCCTCGCACACATTAAAGTCTGGATTGTCGAGCATATCGCAGAGCGAGGGAAGCAGCTGGGGCCAGTTGTGGAGCCCACCATTGCTGGCAATCGTCGTGATCAGAATGCCCACTGTGGCCCGTATTAGGGGCGAGGTATCGCCCACCGCCTGCAGGCATTCGTGTTTGATGTACTCTACGATCTCTGGCTGCAGATTGCTGCCATGCATGCGGATGTTGTTCTTTAGGATGAGGCCGCTCAGTGAGCGTGTCGGCTCGTCTTCCGTTTTTAGTTTTGTCAGCACATAGATGAGATAATTGTTGAAGTCTGGATACCGATTGAATTCCTCCAGTTTCTGCAACACATAAAATTAGCACATGTGATCCCTTTCCTTTCCCTTGTTTGCATTTCGTTTGATCTTACCATTTGTACGGCCATTTGAGTCGCTGTGTCCGGGGATTGAGATTCTTTCAAGATCGCAATGATCTGCTGCAGACCGTCTCCTTGTGGTTCCCACGTCATTGTGTAGCTCTTCTAAAAATGCACACACAAACTTGAATTTTCGCATTCTAATTCTAATTCGGCGGCAAGTTGAATGCCCTCACGAAAGGGTAGGGTAGATGACGGACGAACGAACGGACGGACAGCGAGACACTTTGTTCGAGGCCACACTCCCCTGCCCAATACATTCGCACTATCGAACACACACACACCCTCGCGCGCACACACAGACACGGTGTCGACTCGCGCAGATGCACATGTATTTGACAGTACATATGTGCATATAATATTTACATCATCTGCAAATCGCCCTAATCGCATTTATTTTAAGTATCTCGACCCGTGGTTGCCTCCCTGCGGTGGTTTTTTTCAAATGCGTGCGAGTGCGAGAGAAATAAATGATTTCGGGGAGCGCACAAGCCACACAAAAATTTCCTTCGAGAACGAGCACCCGCCTATCCACCGCCATATTCCATTAACAGGCATTTTGCAACGGAAAAACACTCTATGGGACATTAGCTCTTGCTTTTTACTCACCTCTTCACTTTCTGTAGATAATTGAGATGTGCGTTAAAACTAATTCACTCGAAAATTACTTGAACTTTTTCTACAATTTTCTCTTTTTTCACCTTTTCTTTGCACAATTATCAGGGTTGTGTGGGCTATCGAATATTTTCGATTACTTATTTTTGCTATTCCCACGGAGACGAGACTTCTGCCGCGAACAACCATATATGTTTTGTAGGATGTATAGATATGTAATATTTTAAATTTAATGTTTATCATGGAGTGCTTGATGTTATAAACAATTACTAGATGTTATGAATTGCAATTCTCACATTTGTTACTCCCAATACGGTCATACTTAGTGCTGGCAGCGGTGTCAGTCGAGTGGGTAATCGAGTAATCGCAGTTTCAACCCTAGTACCAATTTTGTTTAGGTTTGGGGCCAGACAGAAGACATTAATTTTAAACAAAGGACCCAGACCACGCTCTTCAGGACATTCATCCCGGGGTCAAACAAAGCCGCGTAGCTTACCAGACAGCCGAGTGAAAGTTTTCCAACTTGTCGCGCCCCAACATCCGTCGCGACCGGACGACATCATGAACAAGCGCAACCATGTGAGTGGAAAAGCAACAGCGAAAAACCCCAGACAAGACTGAAATTAAATTAAATTATTTTATCGGTGAATATTTATTGCAGATCCGCCTGCCGCCAGAGGTGAATCGGCTACTGTATGTGCGCAACTTGCCCTACAAAATAACATCAGATGAAATGTATGATATTTTCGGCAAATTTGGTGCAATACGTCAGATACGTGTGTAAGTTCTTGGCCCATTGTGTCTCGTGTCTGCAGCATCATTAATGGCTTTCTCTCTCTCTCTCTCCGTACAGTGGCAACACACCAGAGACACGCGGCACAGCCTTTGTGGTGTACGAGGACATATTTGATGCGAAAAACGCCTGCGACCATTTATCCGGCTTCAATGTGTGCAATCGCTATCTGGTTGTGCTCTACTACCAGTCGAACAAGGCCTTCAAGCGTGTCGACATGGACAAGAAGCAGGAGGAGCTGAATAACATCAAGGCCAAGTACAATTTGAAGACGCCAGAGGCACCCTAGCCACGGTCGTAGGCGTGGCCACAGGCGTCCGCAAATTGGTTCACTTTTTCCACAGTTTCGAACACTTCTTGATATACAAAAATTTTGCTATCTACTTGTAGATTTATTTTGATCACATTTAAGTATCATTTTAATCTAAACTCATTGTCATCCTCCATCCAACCATCCATCACTCCATCTATCATATGAACTGGCGGACTCCGCGAATAGTTTTCCATGCGTGTCCGCACCAGTTTGCAATCATTTGACGACATTCAACCACTCTCTCATAAAATAACAAGCAAGTGAAAGTAAAAAATACAAAAAAATCGCAAAAACTTTAATTCTGCATTTTGCTTGGACAACCGACACCTCTTAAAATGTAACTTAAAGCTGCTAAAAGTCTTTTAACAATGGGCTAAATATTAACCAACAACACTTTCTTCAGTCTCAGCCCAACTTCAAGTTGCCTCTGCCGCTGCCTGATACTTTTCATAGGTATTCTGCTCCTTCTCCAGTGCCCGCTGCTTTTCCAGGTCTTTCAGTTCCTCCTTGGCGGCCTGGGCTATCTCCTGGCGCAGCGCCTCCACCTCACGCTTGCGCTCGGACCTCTGCATCAGCTTCTGGCGCGCCTTGTCTGTGATTTCCTTGGGCGGCTTCGCTGGCCGTGGTGGCTTTTCGTCGTGCACCTTTTGGTGGCGTATGAGAGCCGCCTCCTGTCGGAAGTGTGTGCCGCAGGTCTTGCAGGCGTAGGGCTTCTCGCCCGTGTGTATCCACTCGTGCTGCTTGAGCGACTGCGAATTGGCAAAGCGACGCGAACAAAAGCGGCACTCAAAGTCTTTGACCTTCTCGTGTATGCTCTTGTAGTGTCGCTTCATGTTGCCCAGATTGTTGAAGCCCTGATTGCAGCCCGGACACAGATGCATGCCCTCCTTCTGCACGAACTTCGCTTGGGGCGGCACACTGGATGGCACTGAGACGATGGGTATGGGATTCACCACAGTGCCAGCCAGCTGGGCCATATCAACGCGCTCTACGCGTCGCGGATCCCTCGGAATTGTGGCCACCGATTCCGCGCAGACTTTTATCAGGTGATTGGCATCCACTTGCACTTGGTCCTGGTCAGCGCTGGTCGTCTCTCCCTGCCGCTGGCGATACGTCTCCAAGGCACGCTCCACGCTCTTCTCATGGATCTTCAGGTGTTTCGTGAGGCTTTCGGTGTAGAGGAACTTCTTGCCACAGACCTGAAAACAGAAGGAACTTTAAGTTGAAAGGAAGTCCTCTCCTATTCCCTGTCCTACCTTGCACTCGCAGCGCTTCTCTCCCGTGTGCGTCATCTCGTGGATCTTGCAGGCATGTGACTTGCCGAACGTCTTCCCACAGTACTGGCAGGCAAAGTTGCGGACCTTCTCGTGAACGATCTTCACGTGATTGTCCAGCGCTCGCTTTGTGTGCGTGGCATGGTCGCAGGTGGGGCACTTGAACTGCTTCTCCTGGGTGTGGGTCAGCATGTGCTTGCTCCACTCCTGGCGCGTCGTCTTGCCCACGCCGCAGTAGGGGCAGACGTAGTTCTTGATGCCCGCATGTCGCAGCAGATGGTTCTTCAAGGCGCTATTGATGTGGAATCCTTTGCCGCAGATGTTGCAGGGGTAGGGCAGCTCCTCGCCCGTGTGCTTGTACATGTGCTTCTTGAGGGCCACATGACAGCGAAAGACCATTCCACACTCGCCACAGGGCTGCTCCGCACGCGGTGCACTCACCCGCGTCTGATTGTGCACCTTCTTCAGGTGAATGGTGAGCAGCCGCAGACGGGGAAACAGCAGCTTGCAGCCCTCCACGGTGCACGGTATCTCATCGGCTTTCCTCGTGTGCGCATAGTCCACATGCAGACGCAGTGCACCGGCTGTGGTGAAGCCCTTCCGGCAGGTCTCCTCCGAGCACTGAAAGGGCAGCAGATCGTTGTGGTACTTCATGTGTTCATCGAATTTCGATTGTTTCTTGAACTTTTTCTGGCAGATGATGCAGGTGATGATACGACGCAGGCGACGCTCTTCAGGTGGTATCTTTTTTCGCTTTGCCCGCTCCTTGGACAGCAAACGATGGGCCAATGGAATTTCGTCGTCGGTGGAGCCATCCGGTATCTCCTCCTCCTCCTCCTCCTCGTCATCGTTCTCCACGCTCGTGAAGTCGGAGAAAACGCTCTTGTCCACCGTCACCAGCATCTTGAAGACCTCCTCCTCGTTCTCAATCATCTCCAACTTGTGATTCAGCAGGGGATCATAGCTTGCCTGCTCCTCAGGGCCCAAAATCACCTCCGCTGGCTGCTCGGCCACCGGCTCCAACAATTCGATGGCCACAATTCTGTTGGCAGCCACCATATCCTTGAAACGCTGCACAGAGTCCAGGCATAGTTTTTGGAACGCTTGCAGATCGCTTAGCTGCCCAAAGCATCCATTGCATATGCTCCGGGGAAAGCCATCCTGCTGGTCCACATCCAGAGCGGTGCAGAGGGTTAGCTTTTTTGCCAGATCTGGCTCCAGAAACAGATCGTGGGCGGGGCCTTGCTCCAGGCACGTCAGGCAGAGGCGGCACAGTGAGTGGACGGGATATGGCTCCCGTGCGACCATATCCATGCAGGGAAAACCCGAGCTGCGACAGAAATAGCTTACAAAACAACAAAAATTGACGCGTTTTTAGAGATGTATAGCTTGAAACAGTGTCGGCGGGTCTAGCGGTTTAATCTGACCTCAACGGAAAAAAGCAGATTTGGCTAGAGCTAGCTGCTCCTTGTATTTTTAGCCATTACTATAGAAATGGAATTTGCGCAATCTTCTGGCTGTTCCAATAGAAACCACGATGCAGTAGAATAAATTCATTAAATTTTTTGTTGCCATTATTGTCTGCAATTCTAATTGTTACTTTTAGCTTCTTTTTTTGGCCTGCATGCCAACACTGACACTGTGTACCGAGTACATGTCTATTAGTATCGATACTTGTATCTCGCATTTCTCTTATTGCCACTCGCCCATTTTTCGCTGACGACGAGTATATACTATTTTTTCTGTGTCAATATTATTTTTATTGCTGGCTGGCCTGGAAAAAACGCAAAAGATAATCGCAATTGTTGAAAACGCTGCCGCAACACAAACCGCAACATGGACATGGGCAGGACATATTCGATACACACGCTGTGTCGCGTTTGCCTGAACCACTTGCAAAACGATGCCGCATATGATTTGTATCTGGTGCCAGGCCTGTCGAAAAAACTGTGTCTGTGTACGTCCCTCTCCGTCGAGCAGAACGATGGTTTTCCCAAGAACCTGTGCAGCAATTGCTACACCAGGCTGAACGACCTGCACGATTTCCAGAAACTGTGCGTCGACTCGGTCCAAAAGTTCCAGGATCTGGTCGCCAGCAATGTTTTCACCTGCCAGACGAACTTCGATGTGCTGGATCCCAGTTCAACGGCCCACGATCTGCCCGGAGAGGACGAAGACCACATCAACTTTGATCCCCTGTTGAACCACAAAATGGAGCTGATCGAGAACGAGGAGGACGTGTTCAAGATGCTGGAGCATGTGGACAAGGAGGCCGAGGAGTGTGAGAACGAGAGCGTCAAGCAGGACAAGGTGAAGGCTTCGCCCAGCAACGCTTTGCGAATGTTCGACGATGACTCCTCCCTGGAGAGCGGCAATGACAACGACAGAGATGTGGACTTTGAGCCCAACAGTAGCGACGACGACATTCCTTTGGCCCAACGCATGAGGGGATCCACCCAGTCGCAGTCCACCCGCACACCACCCAAGTCCAAGCCCAAGCCCAAGAAGAAACCCAAAGTGGTGGACTACGACGACTTCAGCAGCACCACCTCCGACTCGGACGACGACGATGACGGCTCGAACAGGGAGAAACCCAAACGCAAGAGGATCCCAGCCGATGAGCGGCACCTTCATCGCATCATCGACTGCCACATTTGTCATCAGAAGTTCAAGAAGGCCATCCGCTACGAGGAGCACATGAAGTACCACAACGATCTGCTGCCCTTCCAGTGCAAAGTGGAGACCTGCCGCAAGGGATTCACCACAGCCAATGGCCTGCGCATCCATGTGGACCATGCCCACACCGAACTGTCCGAGGTGCACCACTGTCCAGCGGAGGGTTGCGAGAAGACGTTCCCACGCATCAGGCTGCTTACGTTCCACATGAAGAAGGTGCACAACATAACCAAGTCGGCGGCTCCGCTGCGCGACTTCCCCTGCCCGGAGTGCGACACCGTCTTCCGCTGCCCCACGGCTCTCAAGAAGCACATGTACAAGCACACGGGCGAGGAGCTGCCCTACCCTTGCAACATCTGCGGCAAGCGGTTCGTGATCAACAGCGCCCTCAGGGACCATCTGATGCGACATGCGGGTATCAAGAATCACGTCTGCCCCTACTGTGGCGTGGGCAAGACGACGCGCCAGGAGTGGAACGCCCACATTCTCACCCACACCAAGGAGAAGAAGTTCAAGTGTCGGCAGTGCGATCACGCCTCGCACAACAAGCAGGCCCTGTCGAACCACATCAAGGTGGTGCACGAGAAGCGGAAGGACTTCGCCTGCCAGTATTGCGGCAAGACGTTCGGCAAGTCGCACGCCTGCAAGGTGCACGAGCGCAGTCACACGGGAGAGAAGTGCTGCGAGTGCAAGATCTGTGGCAAGATTTTCCTCTGCGAGAAGAGCCTGACGAAGCATCTGAAGACGCACGAGAAGCGGGATCTGCCGCCGTCAGAGCCGCAACGGCAACAACAGCTTAACATTCCCATTCCGATACCGGGCCAGATGCAAGGCGATGGCCTGGGGAATCCCAATCCCAATGCAAACAGCAATATTAATCCCAATCAAAATGAGGACATGCTCAAGGCTTGCGCTAGCAGTGGCGGGCCCGCTGCACCGCTGCCCAAGCAGAAGAACTCCAGACGCGTCCAACGGGTGGACATTTCCCAGCTGGCGGGAACGGCCGTCAATCCCATACCGTCAGTGTCGGTGCCGTCGTGGTCGCCGCAGGTGAACTTCACCAAGAAGGAGGGCCAACACATCTGTCCCGGCTGTGGGCGAGGCTTCAACAACATTGGCAACATGAAGCTCCACTACAAGATCATCCACGAGAAGGTGAAGGACTTTGCCTGCCGCTTCTGCCCCAAGCGATTCTCCAAGGCGCAGATACTGCGGCATCACGAGTGGATCCATACGGGAGAGAAACCCTTCGAGTGCAAGATCTGCAACAAGCATTTCCGCCAGGAGACGGCCCTCAAGAAGCACATCAAGACGCACGAGAAGCCCGGCCGCCGTCACGTGCCGGAGAGGAGTGCACCCACGGTGCCTACATTTATGAAACTGGATCCCGAGGCCGAGCCGAGGAACTACGATCTGTATCAGGATCCGGCTGCAGAGCGGGCGGCGGCCACCGCCGAGCTGCTCGCCCATCAGATGGAGGAGAACGAGGCCAAGCGGAAGGCGGACATCGAGCGCCAGAAGATCGCTGCGGCTGCCTGCGAGCAGCTAACGAAGCTGCAGAAGCAACAGGAGATAATGAAGGCCACAACCTCCTACGACGGCTACTACCAGCAGAAGGCCGAGGCCGATGGCACCAGTTTGGATGCCCTAAAGATCGATCATGTGTAGAGAGTGGCAGGCTTCCGCATGGCTTCTTAATATACCGTAAGATTTATATTGTATAATTAACTTTTACAGCGCAAACTGTGCTCCCTGGAACATTTGTCTTCTGCCCTCGAATTGCTCTCTCTCACACTCCTCCCTAGTTGAAACGGAATAGAAAAACTTCATTTATTCGAGTACATATATACGAATGAAAATTAACGATTTTTTATATGTATACATATAAATTTGTGTATCTTTATGTTTTTTTATCATGTACTACATACATAGACAACAAAAACAACAATCTCCTGTGCTTACTTAGAGTAAATGGAATTAAATATTACCTACATTACATACATACAAACAAGGCTCCACTTATTTCATGCAGTTGGGGGGATACATACACATTTCTGTAGTGTGTGTGTGGGGAGTTCACGTACAGTCAGTCCCACTGTCTAATACGCCCTATCGTACCCTCTCTGCATGTGTGTGTAGGGTACATATGTATGTACACACATATGTGAAAGGAAAAGCAACTTTGCTGCCGATCGATCGAACAGAAAAACCACCTGAAAATGTAAATGTACGTTGTCGGGGGTGGGTGGTGGTTGGGTTGCAATATGTATGCTGCTGTTGCAAACATTTGGGCGTAATCATAATACCCCCATTAAAAAAGGTATAACAAAAAACTTCCATCCCTATGCATGTGTGGGAGCGGTGCTAGTGATGTACCATTTCCAGCGAGTATTCGGTACACTCAGTAATCGATACTCCCAAGCATACCAGTAAAATTATGTGGTACGCGAGCATACGTTTCATTCTATGCACAAAAATGTAACCATTATTGTTAGTTATAATTTATATTAATCTTAAATATAGAAAAATTTAAACATTAACGCCAATAAATATAAAGTATCGACTGCAAATATATCGATATTGATTAACATCCCTATGTATAATATATATATGTACAGCGAGCGATACATATATATATATACACACGTATATAGATACTGTGTTAGATTTTTCTCAACGCAGAATTTTTTTTTCATCAGCTATAATTTCCAAAATTGAACGAATTGAATTGAAAAAATGAACGAGGGGAGTCACTACTCCATACATACGGTATGCCGCACCTGTCTGAGCACCCTGGATAACGGTACGGCATACGATCTCTTCTTGATCCCGGGGCTGGCCAAAAAACTCTGCGTGTGCACGTCGCTGTCGGTGGAGCAGCAGGATGGCTTTCCCAAGAACCTGTGCATCTCGTGTTACTCGAAGCTGAACGAGCTGCACGATTTCCAGAAGCTTTGCGTGGACTCGGTGCAGAAATTCCAGGATCTGGTGGGTAGCAATTCCATCACGTGCCAGACGAACTTCGATGTGTTGGATCCTAGTCGCGCTCTCGCAGACCTGCCGCCCGAGGACGAGGACCACATCAATTTCGATCCGCTTCTAAATTCCAAGATAGAGATCATTGAGAACGAGGAGGATGTGTTCAAGATGCTGGAGGATGTGGAGAAGGAGGCCGAGGAGGTGGAGAAGGATGAGCTCGCCTCTGCCGAGTTCAACGACTCCTCCTCCGAGGAGAGCGACGAGAGCAGCGATGATGACGTGCCCCTGGCCCAGCGAACTGGACGCGGAAAAAGGCGTGCCCCCAAAGCCAAGGTCAAGCGTCCAAAAGAGGATTCCGACGAGCTCAGCTCGCTCTCCTGGGACTGGGACTATTCCGACGGCGACAAGGGCAAACCCAAGCGCAAGAGGATTCCCGCAGCCGAGCGACACCTTCATCGCCTCATCGACTGTCACATTTGTCATCAGAAGTTCAAGAAGGCCATCCGCTACGAGGAGCACATGAAGCACCACAACGATCTCCTCCCCTTCCAGTGCAAGGTTGAGAGCTGCAAGAAAGGATTCACCACGGCCAACGGGCTGCGCGTTCACGGGGAGCATGCCCACACGGATTCATCGGACATGCACCCGTGCACCTACGAGGGCTGCAACAAAACCTTTGCCCGTCCCGTGCTGCTGAGCTTCCACATGAAGCGGGTGCACAAGGTGGAGACGCCCCAGAGGGACTTCCCCTGCACGGAATGCGACAAGGTGTTCCGCTGCCCCACGGCTCTCAAGAAGCACATGTACAAGCACACGGGCGAGGAGCTGCCGTTCGCCTGCGAGATCTGCGGCAAGCGTTTCCCCATCAACAGTGTGCTGCGGGATCACCTGCTGCGGCATGCGGGCATCAAGAACCATGTCTGCCCGTACTGCGGCGTGGGCAAGACCACGCGCCAGGAGTGGAACAAGCACATTCTCACCCACACCAAGGAGAAGAAGTACGAGTGCCGCCAGTGCGAGCACACCTCGCACAACAAGCAGGCTCTGGCCAACCACGTGAAGGTGGTGCATGAGAAGAGGAAGGATTTCGCCTGCCAGTACTGCGGCAAGACGTTCGGCAAGTCGCACGCCTGCAAGATTCATGAGAGAAGCCACACGGGAGAGAAGTGCTGCGAATGCAAGATATGCGGCAAGGTGTTCCTCTTCGACAAGGGCCTCACCAAGCATTTAAAGACCCACGAAAAGTCCGATCTGCCCAGGAACCAGAACCCGGCCAATCCACTGGCCGATGAGGCAGCCTCTACGTCAACGATTGCCAAGCCCAGCCCCCACCTGCGTGGGCGTGTGGAGCGTGTGGACATTGCTCAGCTGGCGGGCACTGTAGTGAATCCCATACCGTCTGTGAACCTACCGTCGTGGTCGCCGCAGGTGAACTTCACCAAGAAGGAGGGCCAGCACATGTGCCCGGACTGCGGCAAGGGATTCAATCATGTGAGCAACATGAAGCTCCATTACAAGGTGGTGCACCAGAAGGTGAAGGACTTCTGCTGCCGCTTCTGTCCCAAGCGGTTCGCCAAGAAGCAGTATCTGCGCCATCACGAGTACATACACACCGGTGAAAAGCCTTACGAGTGCAAGGTGTGCGGCAAACACTTCCGCCAGGAGCAGGTGCTCAAGACCCATATGAAGGTGCACGCCAAGCCACCGAGGCCGCCACTCAAGCCCAAGGAGCCGGTCACACCCAAGCCGGAGACGGTGAAGCGACCGCATCCAAAGAATTATGAGCAGTACCAGGATCCCGCTGCGGAGCGGGCTGCCGCCACCGCTGAGCTGTTGGCCTTCCAGCTGGAGGAGAACGAGGCTAAGCGGAAGGCGGAGGTGGAGCTGCGCAAGATCCAGGAGGCGGCATTCGAGCAGTTAAACAAGCTGCAAAAGCAGTCGAACACCTACGATGGATTCTATGCCCAGAAGGCCGAGGCTGAGGGCGCCAACGTCAATACATTCAAGTTGGATCATGTCTGAGAGGACAGCAATAAAACTCTATATGATTATTAATATTAGTAATATACACGTATATTATGTGTGTTTTTTGCTACTATGACCATAGCTTATTTATAGTATTTTTAAATGTATCATTTATTCGATTTGCTATTATTTTAAATCATCTTTTTAAATGTGTGTTTTACCTTTCGCTTCGGTGGCACTCATATTTGGGGGGTTTCTCTATGAAAAAGGAAACTCGAGCAACGTAGAAATTTAAGTTCTGAGAACCGTGTAGCAAAGTTGCACGACCATATCCACTTTTGGCATTATATATTCCAAAAACAAGCAGTTCCGAATTTACGGTTATAATTGTTATTTTAATTTAAACGATGAGTTTGTTTCGCCTATCGCACTATAGGACCGATAATATTTATAGCTATCCTGAATTTCATCGATAAGTAGAATCAAATGGCTTTATATTATTTGAAGACGTAAAACCTCAGCAACATATGACGAATTGATCAAATAAGGTTTCTTTATCTGTAATCTATTTATTTCACATAATATCAGCTCCCTACGCATATATCAACAGGCAAAACAAATTATATCGATATATTAAAACAATAAATGAACATCCCTAAGCAGCATTGACGAATGCGAATGCATTCTCCCATCGCGCTCGCGCTCAAAACTGCAACATTTTATTCGAAGATTTTACGTGGCTCTCGTTAAAACAGTTAGATCTTGTTCCTTCGCCTGCCGAAGATGAATCCTGGCATTGTTTTATGCGAAATTGCAAAAGAATGTCTGAGCGAGGCATCACAATTCATTTATGCCAAAAAGGGTTGGCAGCTAATGGACTTCTTTGGGCCGGAGCAGTCAGAAATACTCTTAGAATGCATTAAAAAGTGTAAGTTGAATAAAAGTTTACCCCAAACTGAATGATTTTCATTTACGCACTTGCAGGCGAAGAGGCGCGTCCTCGGAAATTGGTCTTTAAGGCCATCAAAAAAGATGCCGAATGGATTTTGGTGTTGTTGCAGCAGGCGTCCAACGCTCAAATCCGTCCGCTCGACATGGAAATGGGTGCCACACTATTGCCGATTGTGTTCAAGGATTTCAGGCTGGAGAGCAGCCTGGATTTTGCAGTGGCCGAGCAGGAGAAGATCTCTCAGCGACCCCTCAAAACGTACGTGTCGTCGAAGCTGTACGACGCGCTCTACGACAGACATCAGACTATGCGAGAGGGCAAAGACAAGCCGCTGAATCTACCCGACTGCTTTCAGTCGAAGCTGCGCAAATACCAAGAGCGCAGCGTCTGCTGGATGCTGAGTCGCGAGCAAGAGTTGAATGAATTTGCCGGAAACTATTCTGTGCTCCAGGCGGTGGATGGACACACTCGCGTGTTGAAGCATGACTACTGCCTAGAGTTCTATCCGTTTCAGGAGGAACTGCAAAAGATAGCACTGCCCCCGGGTGGCATTCTAGCAGACGAAATGGGCCTGGGCAAGACGGTGGAGTTTCTCGCCATGATGCTGCTCAATCCGAGAGCTAAGGGTACTTTCAGCAACAACTACTGGCTGGAACTACTAGAGAGCATATACGAGAATGTGCCTCTAAAGCAGCCGCGACAACAGAGGGAACTGTTTTGCATCTGCAATAGCAAAAAGGGAAAACGAATTCAGTGCAGCAAGTGTCGACTGTGGCAGCACGAACTTTGCATGAATCGCAGTGGCGAGCAGGATCCAAATGATCCTCCGTATGTGTGTCCCAGCTGCTGGTTGGAATTGGGAGGCACGCGACTGGTAGAGTCGGGAACCACCATTATAGTCTCCCCCAATGCCATCAAGATGCAGTGGTTCAACGAGCTGCAGAAACACATTTCGCCTGCTTTAAAGGTTCTCCTGTATCCCGGTCTGCACTCGGGTTCCTGGTACAGTCCCCTGCAGCTGGCCGAGTACGATGTGGTGCTCACAGACTATCTCATTCTGCGCAGTGAGATTTATCACACCGCGGACTACAAGTCGGATCGTCAGATGCGCCACCAACAGCTCTATTTGCGTCCGAACTGTCCGCTTCTGATGGTCAACTGGTGGCGTGTCTGCCTGGATGAGGCTCAGGTATAAAAGAAGACCCATCCAGCACCTCCTTCCGAATTTTTTAAATGCTTTTTCCCTTTAGATGGTGGAGAGCAGCACCTCGCAGGCGGCGGAAATGGTGCGAATGCTGCCGGCCGTAAATCGTTGGGCCGTCACGGGCACCATTGACGATTTGCCGCCGCTCTTGCAGTTTGTTGGCTTCAATGAGGCTTGCCAGCCAGCGGCTGCCTGGCAGACTGTGGACAAGTCATTTCAGCTGAATTACAATCCACAGCCATTGTTAGATCTGCTGGAGCACAGGCTGTGGCGAACCTGCATGTCCAAGGTGAAGCACGAGCTGGGCATTCCGCCGCAAACGGAAGTTGTGCATCGCCTGGAACTAAGCAATGTGGAGGCCTTGTACTATCGTGAGGAGCACATCAAGTGCCACAATCACTTTCGCGAGGAAGTGGCCAAACATACGCATCACAACGAGGACAATAGCTCCCGCCTCGCTGCCATTTCGCCGCAGCTGCTGCGCTACATTCTGAAACCATTTCTGCACATACGCAAGACCTGCTCGGTGCCCGTCGTGCACAACAATGCGAACATCTCGCCCTTGATGGATCCACAGGAGCTGCTAGATCATTTGATATCGAACAACGAGACCGAATGCAAGAAGGAGCTGCGCAGCTGGGCCTCCTCCTACAATGGAACGGCGGCCATATACTTTATACGCGAGAACTATGGGCAGGCTATTAGACAGTACAAGTATCTACTGAAACTGGCAGCGGACTACAACAAGGACAATATATCGTAAGAAATTTAGCTGCAGCTGCTCAGGGATTTATCACTAAAGTATAAATCCATTTCCATTTCTTTGCAGCGTGGACAGCGTACTGCAGATTCATGCGCTCTATAATATCCTGCAAGCCAACGATCTGGCTGCTACTCAGTTCAAGTTATCTGAAATCGAGGAGACCACCTATCAATCAATGATGAAAGCGTTCGAGTGGAAGTACCTGGACGACACCTCCAGAGTGCTGCAATCGGCACTCAATGCCTACCAGCTGAAGATAGCCGAATATCAGACACTGGAGGAACGTTTCAGTGGCAGCATTGTTGAGTTTCTGGCCACAGTGGTCAACTACAAGGACTCCCTGCACGATGCTATGTGGAACAAGGTGCGCGAGGAGTTCATCAAGCAAAATATCTCTGCTGATAAATTGGAGGGTGTTCAATCCGTAAGGGGCATTGTTTACGAGATTGAAATGTGGCATCAGCGTCTCGAGGATCTCAAGTCAAAATTAATTACGGAATTTGAGTTTCTAGAGGATATAATTGGTCGGGCTGTGTCGACAGTTCAAGCGGGAGAAGCCCTAACAGCGGACATCACAAGCTTTATAGAGAAAGTCTCTGATTGTCATCTGGCTGAGATTATGGTGAGTGTTTTGCAGCTGAAAGTTGTAACTTTTCTTGACTTTTCTCTATTCCAGGATGATGACAACAAAAATAAACAAAAAAAAAAACCGAAAAAGCCTCTTGCCCCTTGTCGCCTGTGCCAGATACGTGAGACGCTAAATAAATTCGAATGTCTGCTGCTTGCCAAAGTCGAAGACGAAACCGAAGGCCTGCAAAAGCCCAGCATGGAAATTGGTCTTTTAAAAAGTGCAGAAAAAAATTCCCTAATCAAATCTTTCACTAATGTTTCCTCCTACTCTGCAGTAATCTTTACATTTGTGCGCGGAAAACCAGAGTTCAGCGATTACCTGAGCGAATGTAAAATCAAATTGGATTTGCTCAGCTGCTTGCAGGGACTGGCCAAAGCCATGGCCAAGTACTGGATCGAGGTGGAGTACATGGTGAAGTCATTCGATGAGCTTGAAATGTGCAAGATGCGCATTCTGCTCACCGATAATCCCAGCGAACAGTCGAATTATCGCATCTTGAGCGACCAAATCGATGAGCAATTGGAAACGAATCTGCACAACCTGGACATGGCACAGCGTAACTTTACGCGACTGAGTGGACGTCTGAAGTACTTGAAGCATCTAAAGCAGGACACGAGCGCCGCCGTCTGTCCTATATGCCACACCGATGAAGATCCTAGAGTAAATATAAACCATAAATCACATACAAATGTCTCTAAATGCTGCACTGTCCTTGCAGTTTGTGATGATGGTTTGCGGCCACTTCCTGTGCGAGCACTGTCTGGACGTCATGGAAAAGGGAACATCCGTGGGCAGCACCAAGTGTCCCATTTGTCGCCAGAATTCGCCACAGTATGTGAGGGTTCTCCCATCTCAATGCTGGCTCTTACTTTTGCTTTTTGTTTTGGCAGATTATATCGCTACATTCGTGATGGTTCAACCAAACCGATTGTTGGCAACTTTTCCACTAAATTTGCCTGCATTGTGGAACTGATACTCAAGATTAAGGCTGTGAATCAACAAGATAAAATACTCATCTTCTCCCAGTGGCAGGTGATACTCGACCACATAGCAATTGCACTCAAATTAAATAAGATTGAACATCGCAAGTGCAGCAACAAAGATTTGGTTGAGTTTAAGGTTCGTTTGGGTGTGCTTTACGCATGATTATAATCCGCTTTAACACGTTAATCTTTCTTAGAGCACGGACAATAATATCACCTGCCTGCTTATGCCTTTGTCGCGTGGCTCGAAAGGCTTGAATCTGATTGAGGCCACACATGTGTTTTTGGTGGAGCCAATTCTGAATCCTGGCGATGAGCGGCAGGCCATTGGCCGCATACATCGTTTCGGGCAGACAAAGTGAGTTTTATATTTGATAATTAGTAATCCCTAATTGATTTTATGTCTGCACTAGAGCCACCACAGTACATCGCTTCGTCATGAATGGCACAATTGAGGAGAACATTCTGAAGCTCATTACATCAGCGGATGACAGCCAAACTCTCGGCTCACACTGGGATCTCGGAAATATGACGCTGGATAGCTTAAAGAAGCTTTTTATACTGACATCGAATGTATGT